GGGGGGGGGGGGATGAGATTCCGTGGCAAGGGCGCAGGCGTCGCGGGAAAGGGACCAAGAGAATTTCACGGAAGGTTGGATGAATACAGGAGAGTGAGAAAGAAATTGGGGCATGCGAGCAGGATAGAGGGTGGGCTCGGAGGATGTAAGGGATGCTGAAGGATCAAAAGGGGAGCAGAAGAGAAAGAAGAGGAAGGATGTGAAGGAAGGTCAAGAGAACTCAGAGAGAGATAGAGAGAGAATAAGAAGAGATCGAGTATGATGGAGGAGCCAAAGGGACTGTAGGAGAGAGAGAGAGAGAGAGAGTCTCGGAGGGCTCGAAAAGTCAGGGTGGTTTTATACGGTGCTTAGCCCCCCCTCTAGGCTCACAGATAAGAAAGTACTGTCAGAAACGAGGCTGGAAAATACACGGTACTAGCCGGAAAATGTTGGATGAGCCAACCAGGATCGCGTCAGTCTGAATATTTATTGAAAGTTCAACTCGGAGGGCAAAGGTCGCGTAGAAACATTGATAAAACGTCATCTGACTAGAGAGAAATCTATCATGGTCGATACTACAACGTAGCCTCATTTTAATCTTGAACTGGGTACCGTTAGATAAGAGCCGAAAAATCCATGTGGCTTGATTCTAAAAGGACGACAATTTTTAACGTGAAGTAGTATAGAGTTAGGCCACGTATGTTATTGAGAAAATTTGTTATCCTTTTCCGCCGTCATCGAAAGTGTTCTCGTTAATCCAATTGTCTAGAGTATCGATATCGAATTCGATGTCTACGTTCGCCGGAATATGAAAACGTCAGGTCGACGGGAAAAACGAATCGAGCGAAGTAAAATAAATTTTCTCGAGTACACGAGGATCATCCCAAGTAGGTACACGCAATCCAATTTAAATGATACCTACTTTTCTCCCTTCCAGTCCCTACCTCTCCCTCACTCCCAAGGGAATACACTCGTCCCTCTCCTTTCATCCAACTATTCCCTCTCTTGAGGAGTTTAAAAAAAAGGCAATCTTCCCACAGGGATCACGAATACGTAGCAAAGGGTGAAAAATTATCATTCGCCTTTGGTTTCATCGATATTCAATAAGCATCGATTACTGTGTTTCTCCTTTGCTATTTCCTCATCCGATCCTGGCTCTCTCTCTCTCTCTCTCTCTCTCTCGTTGCAGTCAACACAAGTGATCCTTAGCTCGTACCAGAATACTGATCATTTGGATCTTGTAGATCTCCTAGATCCTCCTCCGTGGTCACAATGAGACATCGGGAAGGCTGAAACAGAAATTTTCCAATTAGAAATCGTCTCCAAGCATGCACGATGGATGTAATCGATCAAAGAGAGTTTCAAGGAGTATTCCTAGTGATGAATTGCCTGTCCCGTCCACTTAGGTGATCCATCTGTGTATCTTATTATACCCAAGACAGCCCATGCTTATCCGTGACCTCCCAGTGGCATGTCGCACCTTCGTTTCCGACAGTTTCACTTAATCCTCGAGTCTTGAACGCGTCGACGTCCAAAAAAGCAGCTGATATCAGGACACAGATACAAGAGTGGCACGGAGCAGGTTCGACGAGATGAATTCCCCAAGGGTTCTTGTTACGTCAGCAGCTACGTATTGAAGGAGCATACCACTCCGAGGAGCATCCTTCGTCTCCCTCGAAGGCTCGTAAATCACGACGGAGGCCAGACATTGGTCAACTCGTGCCCTCTGCTGGCGGGAAATTTTAAACATTTGAATTCCGTTCACGCGGACTCTTTGAAACTCACTCAGGAAATTTGAAATCCGAGATCGATCCCTGCCTCCTGGATAGACAAGGATGTCGTGGCAGCATCCCTCCTTTATTAAACATCTCACACATCTTCCACGTCTCGCGCGGCCTGTAATGTTTTATCGGTTTTACGCGAGAGCAAATCCTAAAATGTTCGAAATAGCCGAATTATACGAGATCAGAGATGAGTCTCCACTCTGGACGCGTATCTCTCATCCTGATACGGCAGCGAGAGAGAAACCCGTGGATGCGCGGGGAATGGTTATCGCTTGAGTCAACATACCGAGAGAGAGAGAGAGAGAGAGAGAGACTCGGGACATTTTGAATTTGCTATCGAGTCTGCAGACTGTCGGGATGCTGGATACTGGATGGAAAGACGAGAGCACGAATGAGGAGAGCGCCATCGAATTTGCATAGCGGTCGACTTGAGAATTGCAGCTAGGACGTTGCACTGAATCCTAATAGCGCCGTCTTTCTACGTGAAAGAACCAGAGGATCCACTCTCTGCTCCTGGTGTGAACAGAAGAAAGAAAAATAATGTAATTCCGGATTCTTATCTTTCGCTCTCCTTCTACCAAGGGCGGCCCATCTTCTACTTCATTTATATATCGGATTACCAAACGACAATATTTTCATGCCCCACTGCAGATTTTTTTGTCGACATTTCGTCGGTGTGCACTGGGCTCCTTTTTCCTTTTTGATTTGCACCTGCAAAGTCAGAGATGGAAATTCTTATGCGACTAGCCGATCGTGTTTCTGTACTGTGACGTAGTCATTTTACTCAAAGGAACCTTCTACTAACCTGACGCTCTAGGATAGGTTGACTTGGACTAACCGGTTAGTTAGTTTCCGAAATGCCAGAGAGTGTGGGGGTGTTCGTGGTCCCATTGGTTAGCCGAAATTTATCGTGAATTGGAAATCCGACTGGTCACACGAGATCCGAATGACAAACGTTACTTGAAGTTGGTCACGTTTCATCCGATTGAAAAGTTGAGTCTGAAACTTGATGACTTTGAACTTGTAATCCGGAAACTCAACTTCAGATGACTCTGTGACATGACGTCCGTGTTGCAGCTCCAATTCTGACGATTCTCGATGAAGCTGGAAGAATCATTGCTGGTGAGAGACACTTGAAAGCTGGAAGTGCACTTAAACTCAAGTGCGAAGCTCGGGATGTGATAGAGAGTCAAAACGAATCTGTGGTCTGGACCAGAGGAGATGAGACCCTGACAGAGGACGTTAGGTGAGAAAATTGTATAAAATTCATATAATAAAAGTAATTGACTAACTTGACTTTTCGTATTAATCTTTTACGAAAAAACAAATGCAATTTATGCTTCCAGTGAAAACAGAACGACGTACGCGTCCACGGGGATGGAGGTCCAGGCGGTTGTTAGCACTCTGGTCGTCGAGAAGGCAACACCCAGACACGCTGGGAATTACAGTTGCGTTGTTCCAGGACGAGCTAAAACAACCATAGCCATACACGTTCTTAACGGTAGACTTTAAGAATATTTTCTAAATTATTCGCAATCACCTGACCAGACTTTATGCTGCCCTATAAGAACAGCGCGTTCTAGGACCGCTGACAACTCCCTGAACTAAAGGGTTAAATAATTGTTAAAGTTTTCAGTGTTTACGAAACAGCATTTGGTGTTGGAGCATTAACCAATTCCCTATTCACATTATCATATGTGCGCGCGTTACGTTTCCCCGGTATTTCCATTACTGCCCAAGAGAAGCCAAGATTAATTATTACTCTGGGTTCAGGGTCCAGGCTGATGTATTCCCCTCGAAAAATTATACTAACATTCCGATTCCACCAGACTCGCCACTCTCCCCTACGCAGCGTGTGTTCATTAGGACAATCTCATTTTCCCGAGATCCTACGAGAAATCAAAGTCCATTCTCATCAGCAACGTAAGTGGTTCTTAGCCTGATGTGCTCCGGAGAAGATGAAACGATACCCGGAAGAGCATCTTGGCAGTGGTTGGCACGGGCATCAGACCACAGAGATAAATGAGAACGGCAGACTCTTTGTTGTCCTCGGTGAGATGCGAGCTAAAGGACGATAACGTAAATTAGATGCCGTCTCGGCAGGGCTGCTCCAGGTCCTGATACAACGTGCCAGGACGCTGATGACGGTGGGAACTAACCTGCGCGTACCTATGCGCCGCCCTTTAAAACGTCCGCCGGTTAATGTAGAGGCGCGGCACCGCGACGCCGTAAGCGCGTAACAGCGTAATACCGTAACGTCGCATGGAAATTAAATGGCCAAGCTGAAAGTCGGCGAATAAAGGAGAACGAGGACAAGACGTTATCACCCTCGGACTTTTTTCGCTCATTTGCAAACTCCGCCATCGTCACGACCTGACCGTCGCTGTACGTCGCCCGTTAATGTCTCCATGTAGCTAGTTGAACTCGAGAAGATGGTGCGGGTCCCCCGTTGCTTCAGGAACTCCGGGTGTTTACACTGTATCTGTAATAAATCCATAGGTAACTATGCGGTACAGAGTATTTGGTACAGTAGCTATTGATACCTTTAAGGGCATTGGCCACCATATGCGATGGAGTGTTTCCATTAAGGCGATGTTTCATCCGGACCAATAGCCACGGCTGCGTAATTGGCCCAAGGATGGCTAATTCGGAAATTCGGCCTCTCCTCCAGTAATGACCCAAACATCGCATGGCTGAGCTTGATCAGCGGAAACCAGAGAACGTCCTGGTATTTTAATCGATCCTTTCCAATCTCATCCCTGGTCCTGGTCCTCGTCCTGGACGCTTCTACCTTCTTTCAGCATCACCCCTAACCGACTGAAAAAAGAAAAATAGCTGGATTACGTCACCACCCTGCCATTTTCTCAGGAAGTTTATACACCGCAGAGACATTTCTCTTCCCTGGATGCTTCTCCTGCTTCCGGAAGTAGTCTAAACGGTGCCGAGTGATAGACCTTAAACCATTCTCGAAAGTTTAACGGCACCGTGTCCGCCTTATTGTGATCTTCCTTCAGCGCTGCTTCGTCTTGGAAACTCTCCTTAAGCTACCGGTAAACTTCTTACATGTTAATCGAGAGGATGTGACGTCTTGTCGCGAATGATAATCATACATGAAAGTAATTAGCATGAAACGCTTCTTTCTTTCTCCAATATATTTTGAAATCATGTAATCATTAAAAGCTTGATATAACTTTTATAAATGGTATATCCAGGTAATAAAAATTCTATGATTCCACAAAGAGTTGACTCTTCGGAGTGACATAAATTTATAATTAACCAATAGCAAGACGCAAATGAATGGTTAGCAAAAGTTTAAGCTACACCCTAAAATGAAACTTTCGTTTCAAGTACCTAGGCGCAAAAGTCTGAAAACTTCGAGGAACTTTAAACAACGTGAATGCTCGTTACGTAAGCTCGTCACCCTCCTGAAGATTATTGTCAGCGCCATAAGACTTTCCTGGAATTTTTCATAAAGCTTCCTCCCCAATGAAACCGACGACCCCCAAAATTACGTCTACCTGAAGAACATCGAAATTCCCAGAATCTCGTAAAATATCTACACTCAATGGAAACGAGTACGTCCTTCAAAGAGAAAAAAAATTCATATTCGTAAAAACATTGGAAAAACTTTGAACGCGTCGTGAAAAACGAAACCCACCGCATTCGCTTCTCTAAGTGAATTCCGGTATTCCAATATTTTCACGAATAAAATCTTTTCCTTTAGGTTTGACTGTGCGTGGGAAGCAAGACAGAGAAAAGGATGCCGGGATTAAGACGAGTAACGGAGATTTCACGAATCCGAGATTTTTCAGAAAAATAAACGGACTCCCGTGAGCCGCTGGCTGTAAGGATCTTAGTCTCAGCGAGTGTGGGCTTCGAAGGGGCTATATCCTGGAAAACCCAGAAGGGAGAATTGACAAATTCCACATCGATCCTGGATTCCAGCCAAAGCCACCGTTCTTATACGAAGAACTACCTCCTTCAAATAAGTGAGACTGCCCAAGCGATCATCGCCAGGAATCATTACTGACCGGAATAGACGCCGAGGCCGATAGGACACAGTCCAATAACTTGAAATAATTTACTGTTCCTGAAAAAAACAAAGAAAACAAGAGAGAGAGAGAGAAACCAACATTACGTTGACCAATGTGATGACTTATCACTGATAACTGATAAGAATTAATATTTACCATTATATATTCGATCCTCGACGTATAGAGTAAACACGTAGGAATATTATCCCGAAGATGATTAATTTACTCAGTATGCCGTTTCCCCAAGATGAAATTCACGCGTACCACTGCCTCGTGTACACAATGGCCGCATGTGCACGAACCCATTAAGACTTGGGGGAGTCTGCTACGTCATAAATGCGTTGGAATTAGACGACGGCGCCCCCTCAAGGAAATAGAGTCGAGGCTTATTAATAAGGGCAGGTTAATTTCACAAAAGCCAAACGTACCGATCCATTCACCGGGAAGCATAAATTGAAGTGATCTCGGCGGGGCAGGATGGAGGCACTTGAATTATATCATCCTGCCTGTTCACGACATAACACTCACTCGGAGCCATCCTCTTGCAGCCGTGGTAATAAGCAATAAGTGAAGAGAACCCTGAAACAGAAGGACGCAAGGTATAAGCGCACTCCAAACAACAATAATCATAATTTATAATTACACACCGTCGATCCAATAAATAAGCCAAACATCAGCGAAGTAAATTACATGAAATCTTTAATGATCTTATAACGAGCTAACTCGAGGATACGAAATAAGAATCCCTAGTGACAGCCATGATCTTTTGAATTACAGGAGAGTTACCTGCAGCCGTGCATGACGGAAGTGGCGTGTCTCGGGCCGTTCTCAATCTGTGGCTCATTCACTTGACCATGAGCTACGTCTTTTGCAGATGACAGTTTTAAGGTAAGCCTGCAACACAAATAATTATCCTGCGTTACGTAAACGATGGGTTAAGCAAATAAAATTTATATGGCATAGGTAATACCTATTTGCCGTTACTATCCTTTGGCGGTATTCTCCTCGACCCTGGACCATTTTGCTCAATAAATTAAGTTGTCCGACCTGGGCGATGAGCGCGCGAGGAATCGGTCCACCGATTACTGCCCTTCTAGACGTCTAGTTCCTCTTTTTCCTTGCCCTCTTTTTATCTATCCCTTTAATCCGAGTTTCAGATGAGTTTTCAGATGAGCGCTCGAAAGCCTCCCCCATGACTTATACAAGTAGAGTACGAGAAGTTGTCGGGTTGAGGTGAACACCGTGGGAAAAAAAAACTTTGTCCCTCTACCATCCTCTCTCTCTCTCTCTCTCTCTCTCTCTCTCTCTCTCTCTCTCTCGCCATCACGTCCCCTCGGTGGGCACGACGAAATCGAACGACAGATTAGGCTTAAGATTAGATTGCTGCGGAACTGATCCTCGATAAAATTGATCCGAGATTTATAGAAAACTATGGTTAACTACTAAACTGTATATCTACACTTGTGTTATTTAATAACGAGACTTCGTGGCGCGTAATTAAAGCAGTAATAATAAATAGTCAAGTGATGTCGTTATCCTTATTTGCTCTGGCGACACGAGCACGCGGCATTGCAGTAATGTTGAGTAAAACCGTGAATACGAAGACTGAAGAATATGAAAAGTACATATTTTTGCGATGTCAAACGACTTTTTTTCTATAATGACTTCAATGCGAATGCGGAGAAGCAATTTTTTAACGGTTAAATATGAAAGTTATGAAAAATGAAAATTCCTGCAGTTAATTGCGAGAATTCGTTATGCCTCGAGCAGCACGAAAATATTGCACTCCTTATTTCTTTTTTTTTTTCTCGAAAAATACGCATTTCAATAAAAAATATTCATTTTTGTTTATATAGTACGTTACTTATGACATTTGAGCTTTGAAATATTCGACGATGATAACCTTTTAATGATAATAATCATATACACGATCGCTATATGTAAAAACCAGTAGTTAATTCTTATCAGACCGCAATACGTAGTTATTACAATTAAAAAAAAAAAATAATAAGCCATGATACATTAAGCGAGATAAAGTAAACCATGCGATTGCACAGTGGTTAAGTCTTAATAGGGTCAGCCGCAGGACTGCTTATAACGGTAACAATAATGGCGGTCCATATTACCAGAGGTTAAGAGCGATAAAAAATTACTCAAAGTATTAAGATCATACTCGGTTAACGATAACGCAATAGTCCATTAAAGATCCCTCGTCCGTTAGCCAAAACTGAAGATCAATTCCAAAAGCTTGTAAGCTCTCCGTTCCAAAACATCCATGGTACGGCATTTTATCTGTCAAGGAGGTTAAATTAATATATTAATTAATTATAGCCAAATAATTGTTACTCGACATAGTGGCAATAATTAAAATACAAAAACCTCCTTCCGCCGCTTGATTCCAGTCGAAAATCTAATGGTTCGATCCATCAGTCATCCATACATCTAGCCGCGTCCATGAGCAAATTTTCCGCAAAACCTAAATTGGACACAGAGCACGTGTGCTGTAACCACACATAGTTTTCGCATGTATCTACGTCTATTTGTCAGGAGCCGAAATACCCAAAGTTGGGTACGTATCGAGAGGCAAGTAAAAGGACGAAGCAATGAAGTCATCGCATTACTAAAATTCGATAGATCGGCTAGTGAGAGTGGTTAATCCGTGATCTTATCACTGGCCATGAATCGCGTCGAAATAACGTGAATCACCTGATATTAATAATTCAAGGTTTTATCTCGACGAGAGCAATCCCCCATTGTGAAGATAATTCCACGTTTATAACACATGACGTACACCTCACGGAAGTTATAGTTGCGCCAGCGCCAGTAAGCGTATCTCGCGAATGCTTTCATTATCAGTAGCCATAGATCACTGTGTGAGCCCTATGACGTCACATCCGTCCATTGCTCATATCCAACTGCGCGAAGAGGGCATAACTGCAAGAGAGAAGGAGAAAGAAAATTAAAGATGCAAAATGAAACAATCTCGAATTTTGTCTCAATTTTCAATTAGGACGTATAAGTATGAGATTACCAAATTTTTATTAAAGTGACGGATATCTCGATTTTGCCAGCGGATACGGGAGGCACGTCTTCTTGGTATTTTATGTTCTCTCTAAGTGAGTGACTACTGCAGAAAATAAAGAGACAAGAAATGCCAACCATGTCGAGACGCCGTTCCGGGGGATGTGCGTCACCGGTGAAATTGCTGGCATCGCTATCGCGAAACTCTGCCAGAGCCACATTATCATCCGGCATCACGTAACAATATCCATACGCCACAGGTGGAACGGAGAGTCTCTCCAAAAAGATCCACTCTTTCTCAATCCTCTTCCATAACGTACGAACTGGCCGAGTGTCTGGGCTCTGAAAATAAATTCATAAAGATTCTTTGACGCATTCGTTTCATATGTCCTTAGCGGTACTAATCGATATCGACATCCTGCAGGAGGCCGAAACTCACTCAGGCCGTTAGCCTGCAATTGCTATTACCCCAAACAGTGAATGGACTGTAGGCTGATTCCCTGTGATGGGTGATTAAAGCGCTCCTACTACAGCATCGATCGGATTGGCTGGCTTTGAGCAGCACGGGCCAAACTGGCAAATGAGCAAAGCGTTCCTGAGCCGCCGTAATATTCCTTTCACGAAATACCCATTTTCCAGGCACAAAGAGTATTAGTGGAAAATCTTGAAATCTCGGGTACACGAATTTCTGAAACAAGTTAAAGAGAAGGAATTACTTTAAAGTACACGTTTCTCGCGTCCCCTTTAAAATAGCTACCTAAAACGGTTACCGGGTATTTCCTTTGATGTTCACTGGCACGTCATGAGCATGTCAGTACATAACGTTTCGCAGACGTCCTTCGCTGTAAACGTCATTTATACGTTGTTGAAGGCAGGTTACCCACGGGATGTAAGCTCGATCTTTTTGGGCGTATGCTAATGTGGGTGATTGATAATTGTTAGCTTTCGCAAAATAACGGAGTCGGCTGGGGAGAAAATACAGGGCAGACGACGGGGTAGAAAATTTATCTGTTTCTCTCTCTTGCAAAAACCATTCCCTATCCTTGTTTCTTTCAGGATCTCCACCCCTTCGCCGCCTCCTCCTCCACCCGTCCTACCGAAGAACACTCTGGAAAAGTATAGCGATTCGTCGTTTTGCAAACTGCCTGCTCGGCACCGTTGCCAATTTATTACGACGGACAAAAGACGACGAGCACAAACTTATCTACTTGGGCGCACCGAATTTATGTCGCGAAACGACAAAGAAATTGCAACGGGTTAACACGGTTATGGCGGAAGGACATTGTGAGCCGACTGACGCACAATTCGCATACTTGGATCCGGTCCAGAAAGCGCTCCGCCACGAAATCCGAAATTTATTAAACGTTACTGCGGCAAAAGAGGTTTAAACTTTTGTCAATTAACATTCAGTGAAAATAATTTCAAAAATTAAGCCGCGCGCAAGGCCTTTCCTTTTTTTTTAATTTTCACAAAAAACACCATGAATTCAAGGTCCTCCGTCGAATTAAGAATCTAATAAGCAGACTTAACCGTCAAGGCTCCTGGCAAGATTACATCAGCAAAGATACAGTCTCTCGCACTGGCAACTCATTTAATTCGCCTAATTTTACCGCGCTCTTCTACGACGTCACGACTACTACGACGGCTGGCGTCGCGACGTCTGTTTGTGGAAAAACTAATTGACCAAGTCCTGCCCGTCTAACGTTTAACGTTCGAATTAGCCTAACCTACAGGACCAATCCTCGCGACCTACCGACCGAATAATATTCAAGCTGACTGACGTGACACGAACTTTCTATGCAGATCATGTAACCCGCTTGACTTGCTCGAATTAAAATGGTGGACGAGTGTCAAGGGCGGACTCGGCAGCATTTGTTCCTGACGGGCATTCGTCAGTATTTTTTATTTCGTACCATACTGTACGTGACAGGCCGGAAAAAGAAAAGAGAAAAAACCCATATCCTCTCGCTCGTATACATGCAGCGTGTACACAGAGAGAACGAGGTAATCAGTACGCTCGTCACGCTGTCAATGACGTGGGAATAACGAAAATAACAGGAGGGCCATACTACATTCAAGTTGCAGACTCGTGAAATTTTCCATACCCATTCTCTCTCCGCCGTACTCGACCCAAAACTTTCTCATCTTTCACTTTTCTAACGGACACCGGCTGCTTCCTGCGTAAACTCGCAACACGTAACGCGATAAAAAAAATCGCATCGCAACTACTATTATATTCTACGTTTGGAGCTACTGGTTTTTTGTTTTTTTTTACTTTTTTTTTTCAATCACCTCGACGCGCCAACAATAAATGGAATATTCAATTGTATCACGCGCTCATATAGATATACTCGATAGTCATCTTTTAATCGAATTCACGCTACGAGATGAAAGCCATCCAATCGCATGAGAAATATGGAGGATTTCCATGATGTTGTCAATTTTTCTATGAGAATCCTTTTGCTTGGTGCTACCGGTGACTTCTCGCATTTTTCTTTCTTCCTCTCTGCTTCTTGTTTGCCACCATTTTTCAAAGAGACCAGGTTAATTTGAACTGGCGTAGACAGCTTCGCCATGACCATTCTTGAACGAGTCTGTTTTGAGAAGAACAATGAGTGTAAGAATGCCGTCACTATGGGACTGTACAACAAACAGATAAAGATAAGGAAAAGTGAGTTTCATGAGGACGAAAAGGCCTGGATCTCCTTCGTCTCTTAAAGACAATAAAGAAAGGTCAAGCACAATGGAGATTACGAGGAGGCAACACGACTTTGATGGGAAAAAGTCTTAAGTAAAATCAGCAGACGGACATAATTATTTAAAGTTTCATTAATGCCTAAAGAGATGCTTTTCGTATCACTGATAAATTACAGAGCAAAGACATACTTTCTAAATAATGTATTCAGAAACACGTGTGCGTATATTAATTGAATGTACAAAGGTCGTGATTGAAATATTCATTAATCCCTCTGTTAACAACCACCCGTATCTCTTGGTTTAACGACATTAATATTAATCAAAATTATTTAGCTCTGAACAAATGATATTGATCCCGTCCCTAATTAGCACTCTATTTAGATAATTTTATGTAAATAGGGTGTATCTTATTTTACCTGTATAAATATTTAAATTTCATACTGCGGAGTCCATTTTGACATTTCGCCACTAAGAGAAGTAGAGTCTTCTTCCATCTCCAATAAAATGTGTTGTATGTATGCATGCAAGTCTTATATATCCACTTTGAGTACTCCAAATATTATTGATCCGTATATGTTTCTTCTCTGGAGAGCAATCAGGAAATCTAGAAAAAAAAAATAAATAAAAAAAGATGAAAACCTTTGAAAGAAAACTAACGCCCTTTGAACTAGGTATGTCAAGCGGCATAAAGGAGCAATAAAGGCCCAATACTTATAATAACTTCTTTGAGAAAATGTACCGGTATTCCGAAAAAAAGATGAAGAATCCCTTTTCGTATTTGTTTGCAATAAATAAACGATGTACGTTGTGAAATCAAAATGAAAGAAAAGAGAGAGAGAGAAGATAACAGAATAACCGCGCAAACCGAAAGCGTAGTTTTATTGGTTTTTACAGGCAAGGTAGAAGCAGGAGTTGCGGCGTGAGAACAGTGTACTCTGCTGGGTCCAATAGCCTCTCTTTCATTTCCGACAGGTTGGATAAAATAACGTCGATACCCGATGACACTGCAGTAGTGAGCTGCATTTTGGCAACCGCAGAATTTAAATATCTATTATACCACGTCCCGCCGCATTTCCCCATTTTTCCGCCACTAGCCGTGGATTTATTTTCATTTCATTGAACGATTCTCGTCGACGTAGCAAAGGACATAAAAAAAAAGCATAAAAGGCACCGGTGGACACTTGCAGATACGCAATCCAATTTGGTTTCACGTGCCTGATGACAGGGCAACGTTGAAATTAAATTATCGAGGGAACTACAATATAATATAATAGGTAACCGGTGAATGTCAATAGCACACCCACACGCGCACCAGTTAACCGTAATACTGGCTTCGAACCGTTATTTCACAATTTTCCAATACACACTGATCAAATATTAAAACATAGTAATTGGAGGAAGGGGAAATATCCGATATCATAATCCAAACCGTACCGCCTTTTAATCTGTCACACGATCCTACCTGACCCCACTTATTACAACGTACGGCAAAACTAGATTTGCTTCCACTCGGGACAAATAATAAGAGAGTAAAACAAAAATTGTAATTTGTTGCAGATCACTCTATGGCGACGACCACAGAAGCTGGAAATAGGACGGAGAGTGCAAAAAAAAATAACGTGAATGGACTCACGGACGGATTACATCTCCTGCGAAAGCGTCGCAAGATGAAAGTCCCTGGACCACGGATGGTGTCGTGAGGACAGAATTTAGAAATAAAATCGTGCGCGAAATTCTTTAAATTCACTATGATACAGAGAGCGCCGTTGAGTATGACATTTCTTCGCTGTCGAATCATCGACTATAGATCGTCGATTGTCCCTCGTGATAAAAACTGACATCGGGAGTTTCGAAAGTGCCGGGAAATTCGTTTAGAATGGATCTGATCTTCGAACAGAGCCCAAGGAACTCTTACGGGACGCCGCTTGAGTCATAGAAAAGACGTGAAACTCGTATCAGCCAAGGCGTCGCGCATCGACGAGAACTTGTCCTTCCTTAATGGCGGTAGTTGGCTCCCCGACGCTGGGCGTCGCCGATACGTCCAAGCCGTGTAAGACCTTCCGGAAGTAGCTTCCATCCAACGTAACATTCTCGCCTAAAGGTACGAGAGAATGTAGTGAAGAAAATAGAGGAAGAGAAAATTTCCACGAACCTGAAGATCCTTGTTTCCTTACGATAATTGACCACGGGGCTGCTTCGCTGTACGAGAGGACATTTTATCCGTTCACGATGGACCAAGTGAGATTTAACAGGTATATCTGGATTCGTATCTCCTCCAAAGAAAACTTGAACTTGCCGATGCTTCTCCCGTGGGAGGGAAGACCAAGAGTTAAAGCAAAGTGTGTTACGATTCCCACGGCACTTGAGGGATGAGACTGCCGGATACCTTGATTGCGGTATAGTATCATATATGTATATGATGCTGCGCTATGTAGGAGAACTGTAAGAAGTTAAAGTCGGTATTCATGAGCGCGGTAAGCATGGCTGCCAACGTGAGAGGAAACCATGTCCGTCTGGCGAGATGGGAAACCAACGTAGACTCCTCGTGGGAATTCGGACATAACGTCGACTCTTTGGAACCGGATGAAGTGTGTGCACTGAAAACGAGAAAGGAGATAGTGAATGTGAACGGAGTGACGTAAGAGAATGGAGTTGAGTAGATGAAGGGAGGATGAATGGAATAATTTATCCCACGAAACTGGAGCATTCGTCGATTCAGACACTTTTTCCATTGATTGACTATTTCATCGAACAATTTACGAATGCCGGTGGAAGTTCACGTTGGATAATGATAATCGAACGTTATTGATCGTTGAGCCAATTTAGTAAAGAGTTTACATAATTGTACCTTTAGTAAGAATTCGTCAAGTTTCGCATCCTGTTGGCAATTTTGAAGGTCGACGTTCGTTGATGCACAATAAATTATGGCTTCTGTCGTTCGATCCTTGGAGGAATGTTATTTAAGATGGAAGTTGAGCCGAAGAAAGTCGCCATCCTTTTCTGGAAATTGTCAAACGTTCGTTATTGTCAATAGCCAACTGTTTATCGATAAATATTTCAAGTTTCAGATATTAAATTATCTAACGTTTATGGGAGGAAGTTCGTTTTTATTCACTTTTGCGAATGACTCGTACGTGTCCGTTTATTTATGAAAAATTAGAAAACGGACCGTTTAAGGAAAGAATTGACCGATTATTTTTTTCAATTCAAAATTCAGATAATAATTCTAGTCTTTTTTAATTAATAAAGCAGTACTAAAAGGTAATATAATGAATACGTCAAGATTGTATAGGTCGACCAAACTTTAAGAATACTTTAGAGAATGGTTACCGGTCCATACAGAGGTGTATGTATAAGTGCCATAAATGTTAGATAGCAGAGAAAAAGAGCAATTTCAAAAATAAAAATCAATTGACTACGAACCAAATCGAATGCTGTCGATAAAAATTTTCTAAATATACAGATTCGATATGGATCATACTTAAGGAAAGATCATTCAAGCTCGAGTATTAAGCTTAATTACAGGACTAAAAAAAATCCTTCTATAAATTTTTGTCATTCTCCCGCGACTACAATTTGCTCATTATCATTAATAAATGAAAAGTAAAGGAAAAGAAGTCAAACTATTCGAAACTGGAGCCCATCCCCCTCCATCTCCCGGTTGGCAAAGAGAACACTACGTAATGGGAAAGAGCGAAGCATAAAAATAAGGGAAAAAATAAATAAAGAAAAGAAAAAAAAAGAAAACCACGAAATTGTGATATGTGAAAACGTATCAAAAGGAGGCGTATGTTAAGCAAAGTTTTAATTACATAGATACACGATCGATCACGATAAGATATATTTTTATATGTAAATACGGCGTGTTTCTTCTTGTTATCTCATAAACGTACCTCGTAAGGCGATCTAAGTTACGTATATAATCGATGACGAATAGGGTGCGAGCAAGCCGAAGGAAGTAGAGAGACGAAAGAGTGGCGCAAAGGGAGAAACGAAAAAAAAAAGAAATATACGAAAAAGAGAAAGAAGTTCGAACCAACTAAAGGAAGTAACTTGTTCCCGTAGGAATTCGCTTTCCTGGCACAGTTACGTATATCGACGTCGTGTCGCGTAGAGTCTCGAAGAGTGTGGGGCGTCGCGGATTCGCAGCACGACGAACCGACGCACAGAAACTGGCTAGAAAAGAGATCGACGAACATTAGGAACGATCGGTATTTCCCGATTCCCTTTGCGTGTCCCGAAGGCCTTTCCCGATTTTCCCAGGCGAACTGCCGTCCTCACGCGGAATCGATTACCCGCGACACACTTACTGGCCAGGATGATTTATCATCCAGGCGTCGCGACGACCTGCTAGTAACCACCTTTCAGCGTTTCCATGTACCAGGCCAGCAGCTTCCGCGTCCAATCCCAAACAGGCATCCTCGCTCTCAGTTTGTCCCCGGGTCCACGATAATTCCAGAAATTCGATCGACTTAAATAAGTCTCCACCTGATCAATGAATAATCAATGTGCTTAGTTTCGACTATTGGATCGCCCGATAATACCGATAAATAGAATAAATTATACGTTACCCAAATATAAATGTATCTGCGACGCGGGCATCCCAGTGCCCGTATTCTCCTAAATACCACGAGATTCCTGGAATAGCACTGTAACGAAAAAAAATTATTAAAAAAAAAAAAAGAAAAAAAATACACGAGCCCGTATAACGTCATTCGAACGAACGAATTGATGCCTCTGAATCTATCGCACAAAAAATCTTCCCTTGACAAACCTACTGAACTGGGATTTGATAGATTTCCGCTGCGATGCGATTAACATCCCTATAACGTTTTGAATATCCGAATATTCGAATGTGTTAATACATAGGAGGACATACGGGTTTCCCACGGGGCAGTACGTACTACGTTCAATATATGCTTTTGCTCAGTTTTCGACATTTTCGTAAATTCTCTCCAACGCGATAATGGCTTTTGTCAAATATTCATTTAACTCGTCTAACGGCTGGAACGTTTTATTTTCTCGTTAATTATCTCGCCGATGAGATTATCGAGTTAAAAAGAAAATTAATAATTACGTAGCTCATCAATGATAGGCAACTGCACGTATCGACGTAGTAACGATATATCACTATACTGCCAAAGATCTAAACACACGTCATATAAAACTATTGTACCATGTATGTAAATTGTATCGTTGTTTACGTATAAAGCATATTAAAATAACATTGCGTTGATTGTACATTTATGGCGTTGCTATTGCAGATTTGCTATCGCGAAAAGGAGTGTGCACATAGTTTTTATCGAGGGTGACAAGATCAATGGACATGGATTATGAAGGTACCTATTTCAAACTGTACATGTAACGCAACTGTCAGTTAATAAATAAATGACCGAGGGAAGCTCCAAAAATGTTCTTTTTTTTTTTCACTTGAAAATTCACTTTGTTTTCTTATCCTCCAGTGACATGTGCTGCATCCTTCCACGATAGGACGATAACGATACAGTCCCCTCCATACAATACCAGACAAATATTCCTTATAAATTTATTATTTTTTTAAAGGATGCTTAAAGTCTTCCACTGACGATCACTCACCTGCAAAAAATTCGATAAATGTAAAAATACCTTGGCAAAATCTTGTGAACGGTACTAATTCCTTGAACAATTTCCATATAGTAATTACCATTGGAATCGATGGAACGTGACTACCAGAGGAACGTCAAATAGTTCTTTGTCAAATGTAATCGATTTACTTCGAAGATGGTGGATATGGAAGACCCTTGGAATTCTGAAATATCAAATTTTCTTTATTAATACAAATTACTACGTATATAGATTAAAATTTCAGATTCACATTGACTTCAGGTAAGTTCTTAACGAGTAGAAGATAAAGCTTTAATATAAATATAAAATATAGATTTAAAATAAAATAGTGTAATTAAAGAGAATAATTTATCTGCAATTAATATTGATCCGCAAATTTTTTCACGAATATTACTTTAACGATACAGCAGTGAAGATTTATCTGGCAGACAAAATAAAGTAAAAATCACAGAAGGTGAAAAAAAAATGAAGATCCGAAAAGTAGGTTACCGGCTGAGTAGAAAGTGGTGTTGGCAGTTTGATCAAAAAAAAAATCGAATTTCCCCATCACGTAATAATTCAGTTAAGTAGAAATGTGGTTCCTCGTGAAGGAAGACAATGGGACATTTTCGTGAACTCCAAAGCCGGGCAATGTAAAGCACGTAGGGATGAGAAAATTCCGCAACGCAACGTAACCACCGCGAGGAGTTCATTTGAATTCCGCGTCGCTCGGGCAAATACAAAAACTAAAATTAAATCTGGCCATTCGTTCGATGCAGCCCAGTGCTATATTATTCGGAAGCACCTCGCGTCCTCGCCGCTGCGAACGACAGTGGAAAATTTATGTTGTGGAAAAGAGAACTCTGGGATATCTACGTCCTATATGTTACGTGCCCATATATTATGCGTTACAGGCCTTTCCAATGCCGCAAATAAAATGATGAACCACGTGCCAAAGAATGAATAAAGTTTTTCTCTATCTCCCTCTCTCTATCTCTCTCTCTCTCTCTCTCTCTCTCTCCCTCTCTCTCTTTCTCTCTCTCTCGCCCTATATCACGTTATAATTAATATCCAACCAGCTAAATAATACACGTGAGTAAATTCCCTGGTTATACGCTTATTCAAATTCCGAAGAATAATACAGTAAGTTTAAAAGGAAAAAATTAAATCTTTAAGAGCAACAATGGTTACAGCATCCTTTGACGTTGACGTATATAGGTTTTAAAAGAGATTTTACACTACAGTGTGATACAAAATAAAAAGCCCATAAAAAAAGAATCATGGCGCCCTCGTGCACGCCAGTCAATCCCGTGGAGTAAAGGGACGCCGCTATCTCCAAAAGAAAAATGTTAAAATCCTGTCACCGAAGGATATTGCACGTTTTACGGGGCACTTTTATGTTTTTCGGCCTGGCGATCGGTTCGAACTTTACTATGAATTTCAAGGAGTAAGAGGAAAACGTTGAGGCGGATATTCAATAACTTTCTCCGCTACAAAAGAGATGGGTCCAGAGAATGTTATCAAAAATACATCCTCTCGCCACGATCCAGTCCGTCATTGCTATATTTTTATATCGTCCAGAGCTGCCGCAAGGAAATCCTCTTCTTCTCTCTGGTATAATTTTCTTGTAACACGAAGCGCATGTGAGAAGCGTTAGAAATTTTTTCTCTAATTTCAGAGATAGCTCGGCCAACGTTCGCATTATCGTATTTCTCTTATCTTCTCCTATTGACCGTCACGAACAGCCGAGTGTTTCTTTATAGTAGTGCGACCCAGAGATCCGTTTCCTCTCAATCAGCCACTTTGTGAGCGAGTTGCCAGTTTCCTTGGTTCCTCGAACCTCCTCCGTCTAAACCTCCACCTCGTCATCCACGAGCTGCTGCTCAATCCTTTTTCTCAATAGAGACCAACACTTTCCTCGTCTTCTGGAAGCAGCCAACACCCTTGCTTCCATCGGGCGATATTCCCCAAGACTCAGTTTTCTCCTATTCCTTTGGAAACGGGGATTCGGTATTCGAATCACATCGAGCTCGACGTCTTCGGCTTTATGGGAACAGGAAGCAGCTATAGATATCGAGTTACCGTGCGATGGGATGAAGTGCAGCACCAAGTGCACCTTACCTTGCCTTGACTCACCTCATTTTATTTGACCCAAGCCAATCCGAACTCCAGGTGTAACTCGTTCCTCTGCCTCGTACTTCCTTCTGCCGCATTTCCATCGCAGCCAAGTCTCCTTTGTACGCACCAAGCAGTCGATGGGGCGAATACAATGGATTTCCAAGATGAGGTAGAGGATGGTGCTCCCGAACATATGACACCTGGAAGAGGGAAGGCATCGGTTGAGAATATATTAATTTCCTAGAAGCACTAAGGCAGGAATAAATTTAGGCAGCCAGCTATCCAGTGACGAAAACTTTAGCGGGTCCCTTGGTGAAATTCCACCTTCAGCAGGTACTGTTAAAGCAGCTGGTTATAACTGTAGGCAAAGCTAGTTGATATTCCGTATTTTGACGGAGATAACTCGGGACTAGGAGTAACCTGGAAAATGGACAAGGGGAGGTCGGGGTGAGTGTCTGGGCTTGGGGAGTGGATGGCTGCCTGGTTTTCGCCACTAGCCGAGAAGTTTTGAGCCTCGATGCTCGGCCTCCGGCACAGATGTTGCGATATTAATGATTCCCTCAACCACTCAGGTTGTGCCTGCCTCTGGAGTTACACGTAGCGAGACGCTATTTGCAAATGAAGACGTAAATCCAAGGAGCCTCGCCGTCGGGACAAACTTTCAGGCAAGGATACGGTTGCAGCGCCGTATTGCACAGCGACGGAAAGCGGAAATGGTCAGAAAGTGGCTAAGCAAACTTTGAAATACAGATTTACCACGTATGTTACCATATGGGAGAAGCACTCAAGTTTTAGGAGTTATTTGGAATTTCATTTCATACCGCAGAACGGACTTTCTATATGATTTGATATTTGAAGGACGTTACCTTTATAAAAGCTCAAAAAACTGTAGTTTATACGGATTTACGTTTTTTTTTTCTCCCCCGACATTTATTTTTATCTACCCAGGTCGATATAAGATTCTAAAGTTATATACAGGGTAGCCTGTTTTCTCATATCATCGCGTCGCAGGACTTTCTCAAATTTCACAGTGGCTTAAAAGTTTGCTTTATTTCTTTTTTCCTTCAAATAAGTCTTTCCCGAGATGAACGCGTTACTCGGAATTTTCTACTATAAAAGGTATTCTTTCACGAGGCTATTATCACCGGAAACAACGCGCATTCATTCATTCGCAGGGAAACGTCGGGCTTTTACTACGGCAACTATAAAAGAACCTTTGTGTGTAGAGCAATAACGGCCTTACTTCTGCTTGACGAATTCTCACCTTTCACACAGCAATACCTTCATCTCTCAGCCTTGAATGCTCTTATTCCTAACAATTACAAATAATATAGCAATCATTAACCTCACTATGAATTACGTAACCAAATTATATTACGCTCACGTCATATGAGAGTTCAATTGTGACATAACCTTTCTGACATTTCGCTCGTTCGTCTTATTGTCGCTTATTTACATCCCTCGCAAATAAGCAATGTCAATCACGTTTCACCAATTTCTACGATTAATTTGATGCGAAAATTGCGACAATTAACGGTCGAAATAGAATTCGATCACGACAATGACAAAAGGCCTTTGAATTAGAAAAGCCAAAAGACAACTCACATGCAATGTCGTCGCAGTAGCGACGTGACGAGAGTCAACAAGAATTTACTGGAATGTAGACTGAGCGTCATTAATGATATCCCGCTTGGTGACGCAATGAGGTGAGGTAAGAGAGAGGGAGCGGTGACGTGTACCTGGATACGTGGGTGCAACGCAGCGAGCACTACGGGGCGAGCGAGACGCCAATGCGGCACTCGGTGCGTCCTTTTTCCACAGTATGAATGCGAGCGAGAAGGCAATACAGTCCCCGAGTCGAGTCACACTTGGAAGCTTGGTGGGCCATATTTTTCTCCGCTCGCTACAAACAGTAGGCATATGCCTGGCAGTGGGCCCTCTATGAGGGCATAAAGCGATAAAGAACAAGAAGAAACAGTGTATGTCTTGACACCTGTTTTTCTCTCTCTTTCGCATTAACTTTCGCCAGCTAGTCTGGGCGACAGCATAGGAGAAAAAGATGCCCCATCGAGCTCCCTAGTGCGTCGGTGAGACACACTGAGCCATTGTAATTATTAATGCATCAATATCGCACTAAGGCCTTTAATATCACAAGTAATTGAAGATCGCGGAATCAATAAATCAATCTTACCTTTCTATTGGCTGCGGACGTGAGAGTGTGGAAAAACAGTCTGCAGGCATTTGTTGCATTTACGTCAAGTTTTCACGCAACAAATGAAAACGAAAATGAGAAGAAAAGCCCGGAGCTTATATTTAATTCCAAACTTGAGCTCCGCCAATTCACCAAAAACACATCACAACGAATACTCCATGACTTTGATTAGTTATCGAAGAGGCCGCTACTGTGGCGCTGTTCCCGAACGTTCAAACTACACAACTAAATTAGTCAAGTTAGGTACTAGCACATGTAAAACGGATATAGGGAGGCATAGCGAACCCGTAATAATATATTATGCAAAAATTTAATGCTGCTGATTTTCTTGTGCTTGTCAAAGGCTCGATTCATTTTCTTTGAGCATGCCCATGAGGTAAATAAATATTTGAACAGAGGAAATGAAAGGCGAGCGGCAAGATGGCAGCTCAGTTACTGAAATATTTTGAACTTTGCGTCAAACTTTTTATGTGCAATATTTATTAAGGTTTTTGTTATATCAAAGAAAAAGTGAAGTGTACAAATGTTCTTATAAGAATATTCAAATCGTATTGAATGAGAGCTCGACAATTTTCAATCAGGTAAGCATTTATTATCCGACCCTCCTTAAATTCTTCTATCGTATGTTTGGTTATGTACCTTAATGTAATAAGTTTTCTCAATATACGAGCCATTAAAAATCAATTTCTCACGTGAAAGATTAACGGGCTGTCGTATCTAATAAAAGTACTCACCATAAGTTTTTCAGTAGAATTTTCAATTCTGTCACGAGCACAAAAGCTAGTTCTGACTCGGTCATAAATCGTAATAAATATCGAATCAAGATCGACGTCATAACTAGTTTCCCCGATTAAAATTCATGAGATGAATGTATCGCAACGTAATTCGATTTCCATGTATATCTCGGCTCTATTCGCACATTCTATTCAGAGTATCGCATACGCTACATCGTATGAGTAAATACACAGTGTGTAACGAAGCAAAATTGACTATTTGTAATCCAGATACTAGTTTACGAAATGCTATACGGAGAGCGTCAACCTCCAGACAAATTGCTTTATTTTCCAATCTCTTATTGCGAAATTCGAGTGCATCCTATTGATGCAGCCAATCAAAAAGTGTCACCTTCCGATGTCCAAGTAGGATATTGATCGTATCTAACAGAAAAACATAAACTCGAAATTCCGTACGTGGTACACGATGCGGTTCGTTTCGAAATTCTCAACGGAGGTAAAAGTCTACCAATACAAAAAGAAGCAGCGAAACTTAGATCGCGATTCCCAAGTGAAGGATGGATTGCTGGAATTCTAGTGTAAATGTACCTAAGAATTTCAACTGCAGAAACCAAGAACGTATCTGAAGTCAAACAGGAGGGATGCGAACGGTATTCTAGGAATTAACGTACTTGGAATACTTCACGTAATAATTGTTTGTGAAAATTAATCTCACTCTCCGGTTTGAATCGTAACAGGTCAGGAGCAAATGGGGATGTTGAATGAAACGGCAAATATGCGACCAAGAAGGACCCTCGATTTATTTGAGCAACGATCTCTAATTTGTCACTGGTCCTCTAATTAGAGACGGTATGGGCTCCATGGAATTGGATGGAGGGTGCTGCTGCTCGATGTGACACCAAGCGATGGGCCTGGTTCTTCTAGGGCTCTAACGGTGTATTTGTCTGATCCGTCTGATCCCACGACGTTGGCCTACGAGCCGAAAGTCATTAGAGAGCCACCACGTCTTGAACTGGAGTCAAAGCTCAGAGTACCTACTCGTCGTCTTCGCCCTTTTCGATTTTGCGAACGTGGCTGGAGTTCGTTCCAGTATAGAGCATGCACGGTGGCTGGCTCGTTTTTTGCTGGATTCATGCGGTGCCCATTCGGTGCTCTTCCACGACAGTTCAAAAGAGGTAAAATCAAAAAGTAAATTATTTCTGGGACGCTGATGAGGCTGAAGCCAATGAAAACTCCACAAATTCCACCAATATTGCCTACAACATTTACTATGTCGCTGCTCACTGTATTTCAGATGAAAATTTGTATGCCTCGAACGCGAGGGTATATCTTTCTTACTTTTGTTTCAATTTCAAAATTTACTCACTCAAAAGTTCGTACCAATAATAAGCAAGGTCTTGCTTAAGCTTTAGAGTACCATACTTGGTAAAATATACATGTACTATGCTCTCGTCCTCTACAGTGAAATTGAATCTGCAAATTTATTAATATTCTTTATCGTAACCAAAATTAATGGCATCGCTTAAGATTATTACCGATCTGCTACATGATAGAGGCCGGTTTTCAATTGTAAACATGAAGTCGACACCTGATAACGAACGTCGTTGCAAGTGGGATAACATTCATCGCAAACGAAGGATTCCGTAATATTAGCACCAGCTTTTAATTCGTTAGGTAACGGGGACCACCATTTCGCTGCAACGTATTAGACCATTTTCATATGATTCCAGTATAAGCCTTTTTTTTTTTTTTTCCCCTTAAGCAACTTACCCTTATTTTTATGCAAACACTCGATATCGGTCATGTCGCAAATTCGACTCGTTCCCTTAATTGTTGATTCTGGGTAAAAAAATGGTCTGCAACCACAAGTTTTCCATATGTCCTTTACTCTGCAATTAACGATGCAATCACTATACGTATATCCTCTGTATACATCCGTCTCGTCATCGAAGACGCATTTCCGTTTTCTAATTGGAAAGTTCCTGATGCCATCTGTACTATGAAAGAATATAGCATCCATTTGTAAAAAAGCCTCCATTAATGGCGAGATCAATACGTCCGTAACACCGCCACTAGTATTGTCAGGATAGTCGTTTGGATTGAAAATCGTCACCTGGATAAAACGTACGAATTAATATTTTACTTCATACATTTTGTGGTGTCAAAAAAAAAAAAGAAAATGTCCACTATAAATATTTTGATTACCTTCCATCCCTGAAGAGGGAGAATGGGAAAAAAATAATCTCTGAGCAAAGGTTTCAATATAACTGAGAGTCCACCCGCTGCACCCAAACTATTTATATGATGTATCTTATCAGGTTTGTTGGCCTCAGACGACCTATGGACCATGTTTCCAAAATTGATATTAAATTTTAATTAACGTGATTACAATTCACTACTCATAATGAATACCTCTTGTAATTTCGATTTCGAATGTAATTAAAGGTGCAGCAGAAACCATCCTGCGTCTCCAGGAAGTCAAAGATCTCTGAACAATCCTGGCTTCTGGAATCAAACTTACAGGAAACGAAAATATCCTCGCATCTGGGCGTCAACTGTTTTACATGGAAGACAATATTTTCATTACACGTATGATGTCATGAATAATTATATACTAGGTCTATTATACTTGCATCCTTCATAATACTGGACATATCGTATGGACCACCATAATATTTTCTTAATAATTTATCAATGTCCACTGGCTCAGACGCAACATCGTATACAGTGCTGTATACATCTCCTAAAGACCAAATCATATCCAAAATGGTTTCTTCTTTGATTTTACTTTTATTTGCGACAAAGCTGAAAAGTTAATATAGGATTATGAAATTTTTAGTTTGCATAAGCAAAAAAAATTCATGAGCAATATTGTAGAGTATTTTGACTAACAATTCTTAGTAATCGATGCGGTTTTGGATTGTATGGAAAATACTAATTTTTTTTTTTTTTTTAGCCAATATCAACTTTATAAGTTTCGTGCAAATCCAGCCAAATTTTGACACTGCACGCAAATTCCACGCAAATTCATGTATCTCTACGGATACGATATACTATAAAATTACCTCCTGGCACCCTATGGACAATGGTAGTGATAAATATCACCGTATATCATATTACGAGTCATTTGCAATTAGTGATCGAGCTATACGAAATACAAGCGTTGCTCTCGTTAGACTTTTAATAGCATTATTCCCATCGGTATTTGCGAGACCGATAGCGGCGGCATTTATCAATACAAAATTTGCACGAGTCGCGTACCTATTAACGTCTGCGATTTTAAAATCGCAAACATGAATAAAGCCCTTTTTTGAACGTAAAACTCTTACATGTTTCTCGCTAGTCTCGTCGCAGCTTCTCGACTTATTCGATTTATGCTGCATACAGCTACTCCTGGAGAAATTAATATTTTAGGAAATTCTATCAAAACGGCGAATACCTTGGTTTTATCTTACCGGGAAATTGCAGATTATACGATGGATAGTAATGAGTGTCCAGTGTCGTTACTATTGGACTTTGGAGATACTGCCCATAGATTGTATACACGGTGTGTCCAAGTAGGTAAATAGATATGACGTGTACGATTATCCAAAAAATTCTGAAATTTTCGAAATTCTTATCAGTCCAGAGTATCACGCAGTGACGACTTGTAGTAAATTTTTAATAACCTTTCCGTCCATGGACGTCGTGGTTCTGCCAGATATTTACATCCTACCAGACTACAATTGTGCAAATAGATTTTTATATGCTTTAATAAAACATTCGTGCATTGATTTTTTATCAAATTCTTGTCTTTCTTTGGCGTGGCCCATCCTAACGAATGTCCAAATTCTTCTCGTTTTCTGATAATTTTGTTTTTCCTTAACATACTCTTGATTCGCTCGAGTTACACTCGCAGCATTGATTTAGTTTACGTAGATTAAGCAATAATCAAAATAAATATTTATCAATGGTCTAGTCGAAAAATATTTTTTTTTAATTTCGTATTTAGTAAAATTCATCTTTATGTAAAATTTCTAATATTGAATATTTACAGAAAATTTACACATTTAATATTTATATACTCTGTCTGGTTACTGGTACCCTCTTCCGTATCACTCAGTAAAGAATATGTTACAAGGAAAAAAAAGAAATGTAAACTTCAACGATTCAACGTAATCGTACAAACGAAATATAAAATTATTTAATCACTTCAACTTATACAATCACCAGTTAACTTATTTTACTAGTATATTATTCAATATTATAATTGGCAATTTTATGGAATTAATTTATTAACAATTAATATTTCACTGGATTAAGTATATTTGCATAGATCCTTTTTCGTCGACTAACTATTTTAAAATCGGTAGAGAGTCTTAAAGCTGCTTCAAATGTCATTTTTTTGTATCGTAACAGGATGCAGTAGGACTTATCAATCACATTAGACGACACGTATCCTCATGAAATACTCAGGCTTTCCCTATCAGCCAATCAAAAGATCATCATGAACTTCCCATCAGTTTGTCAATATTAAATGATAAATAACAGGAAATGAGAATTATAGCCATTACACTAGTGGCACCAGGTGTCTCTAAGTTAGATGTTTAAACCAGAATAATAGCCGAGCAATCATCTTCGACTGCCTCTGATACTTTATTTCTTTTCATAGATCCATTTGCGGTTTGCAGTTTATCAAGCGGAAATGGCAAGAATATCCCACGATTGACCGTTGTTCAGTGATCGTGAACAGAGAACTGCACTTGGGAAAAATGGTGATAAATGGTACAAGCATTTGTAGGATACTGTCACTTATCTGCCATGCATCGGCCTTAAACCTTGACCCAGAACAAGTAATCTAACCTTATCTGAAAATACGTATCTGGATTGCCTTGCGTGCAGAAAGTGGCGCTGATTCAAATGAAGACCACGCACTGTCAGTATCAAGCGATCAACTACACCCTGTGTGTTGGAAAGCTGCACTTTTTCACAGAATGCAAATGTGTCAAGTGGATTAATTAAATAATACGTTCAGCAAGAGTATAGCCTGGAGTTTGTGCAAACTAAACTGATGATGCAGGAAAACCAAAGAGAGGACGAATTAATTTCACTAAATTCTCCTACTATTGTCATTGAATATGAAATGCTGTTCACTATAAATATTCAAGCTGCTGACGTCACGTTAGAATCTGAGACTTTCTTTAGAAACCTTCTCGACAGGTCAGTATCATGAAAGTACCAATCAACATGGACAGTCGAAATTGACATTTTAATGTGAAGTAAAAGACAAAAGTATTTAAAATCACTTTTATTTGTTTTACAGTGAAAATTCAAATCCGGCCTCTTATTCGGACAAATTTTGAAATCTGATATTGGGCATCTTCCGTTGAAGACATTACACGTTGTAAAACAGAGGAACTGCGCAGTTGGGATTCATTCGAAGGTATTTTAAGCATTCGACTCTACCAAAGCAACGTCACATAAATCTCCAAAGGGTGGAATCACACGCGGCACAATTCATTCTATAAAACGTGCTCAACCGGTCTACCTAACTGAACAGGACGAACCGGAGTGCCGTCACTGTGAATCCAGCATAAATCGAGGAAAACTCTGTGGCTTTCGTCCCGGTAGAATCGGCCGATTACCCGATTAACATAAATTAATCAAATAACATTCGGAGATAGTCGTAAGCGACGCTTCGGTTTACCGGAAGTTATATTATATCATGGCGCTGACAGTAGCTATACCTATCTGCGTATAAATATTATTATGTTAAAGTGCAGGGCACCATGATAATACGTATACGTTACTGCACTTTATTATTTATACATTGAAAGAGCAACAAGACTGCTCCGTATCAAAAGCTAATGGCTGTATGGATGAGCGTCGGAGAATTTCCGGCGCAACAATAGGAAAATCCACCGTCACGCCATGGTCGGGCATTGTTGGATAATAAATCGAATCGACGAAATAAGCCAGATATTTTCACGGGGCTCGATTGGCTCCCGCTATTTTTCCATTATTCAAAGACCCCACGGGAAATTGATTCCGGGCGATTAGGTATCGCGTATACAGAAGACAGGCTTTGGAAGGAGCCTAGATCTTAAAATGGTGGTTGGACTCGAGTGCAATTGGTGCGAGAGTTGGCTGTCTGGGGCATAAACGCTTTTCAAAAATTACACCCTTCTCGACGTCCCGCCGCCATTCTACTGCTTACATTTTTTTCTTTTCTTCGACGGGTTTTTCGTACCAAGTACTTTTCATCGACATGGCTGATAAAGATTTCCTCAGAAACGCCCTCATAATTCTCCTTCCTCGATTCATTCAGCTGGCAGCTTTCGTTTGACGTCAGAAATTCCTTTTATTGGCTTTGTATTGAAAATGGCGCGCATTTCAAATTTGTCAGACGTTATTAAGCGATATTCATCCTGTCCTACAGTCAGGGCGAATCGCGGTCTGCCGTATGAACTGGGTCAACTGTGTACCTACCTCAACTCCTACTCAACAGTATTGAATAACGCCATTGAAGTACTCTAGATAACCTTAGCTATCTACTGTTACGTGATTTTTTTGACTTACTTCGATCCCCTGGGGAAGCAGCCGTGGAGGATCTACCGATTTGTTACGTACCGATTCGCTAAGAAATGCTTTGGATTTAGTTCGAAGGGACGACTCTAGGGAAAGAATAAGAGTTATCGGCTATAAGGATCTCGACCAATCAGAATCATTAATCTTCGAATTTGACTATTTTGAAAGTCAGTCTGTCTTCGGACACCGATCGGGGTGCCTCGAGCTGCCTCGCGCTCCCTTTGCTGTCTGTTGACAGTTTTTCTAGCCGTCTTTCCTATACGGCATAGAAAACTCTCACTTGTGTAGTTCTCGCGTTGCTCTCGCAATACATATACAGAAAATCCTATCGATTTTCTGCGCGTGTTTCGAAAGTGCAGTGTTGTGCTATAGTGCAGTGGTCGACCCGAGTGTCCCCTGGATGCAGTTCTCAGCCTTCACGGATCAGCCGATCCAGCTCCGGTGAGCACTCCCAATTTATTAGTTGGTGGAGGGATTTCGATTTTATACCTCGGATTCGTTCTGTTACGTTCTCGATCAATTTTTACCAAAATACGTTACGATAAATATTAATATTTTCAATCGAAGCTGCATTGCAATCTGGCTGTCGTTCTTCCGGCCACTTTCAGCCTCCAGCTTCTAGGTTCTCTCCTCTTGCTCTTCCAATCTGTTCCAAATCTCTTGATCTTGTCTGATCTCATCTCAGCTGTCAATCAGGGTAATAGCCAATTTTGTAATTAATACTTCTGAACAGAATGATTTATGGCGTAATACACATCTGGGTCACGGCCAGTTTGAATTCCATTCTCATTATCTCTATTGTGGTCCAGATTTGTTGGTCTTGGATTCTGTATAGATGAACTCTCTAAACAGAGTCTCGGCTCTATCGTTGGCCTTTAGATTTCAATTGACAAAACTCCACAAAAGTACAATAATTATGAATTTTATAAACGTTAATTAATGTATCAAGATTATATATATTTGGTACTTTGATATCGAGTACAGATATAATTAATAGCATAGTTAATTAATCCAGGATCGAAATTGAAATATATTTCTAAAGGTAAAAATTAAATTGAATTACATACTTAAACGATAACGTAAAGCATAAGAAAATTTATTATAAAATTTTTATTATTTCATTAAGTGTTTTCGCTTATGTTTATATGCTCGTTTATATTGAAAAATTGATCTAGTATTCCATTACGGACATTTACCTCGGAACAGGAAGTTATTGCAAATTTACGACACTAAGTTTCCAAAAGTTTCAAACAACTGACAAAGTTTCGTAAGGAGATTTTAATTACATGCTTTTCAACGATATCGGTTCTTTTTTCCTTCCTTTCAGCCAACAAACTCGATTGTACGTAATAGTCCCGTTATGAAGAGTCAAGGGGAAAAGGAACTCGTAAAATAAACTTGAGAATTAAAATCAAAGTTAAAAAAATCTCATCGAAGATCATTTCGATTGGCTATTAATTAACGTGAAATTTTATTTCACGCAAACGACCAACGTATTTAATTTCTTCGTCCCAATCTTGATCGCTAGAGTTATTTTTTTTTCTTAATCCACATATGGGATAAAAGATTCAAAAAGAAATCTTTTCCTCTTCGTCGTTGCCATAGCAACGTCTTGGACTGAAATGAACGTAAAATAAAACGAGGCTCAGCAGTCAGTATGTAAATGGGTATTTGAGCTTTGAGCACAAAGTCGAAAGCTCTGGCCAGTAAGTGTCGTTAAAGCTTCGGTATACCCGAGTGACTCGGCAAGAATCGATCCGAGCAAAATGCAAAGCAAATGGCCATGAGAAAATTCCAATAGTTTTAAGCCCTGAACATTTGAATATCATAGTGACGCGATACCTCGCGTCCTACGTATTCATACCACGTGTAGTCGCGTTCTTTACGCGTTATCCCGTAATGGAAACCGGCAACGTCTTTTCATTCCCAAATAATTCGGCCCATCGGGTTCGGTAATTTCCTACAGAAATTTCAGACCCTTTAGAAACTTCTAGACAAGTAACAGCGTTGTTGGTTCTCTTGCGTAACCATGATCTACATTACATGAGAAGTTTGCGCTAAGGCACATTCGTAACTTTGTCCTGGAACAATAACAAAACTCGTGCCATCCGTCTTTCTATGTAAAATAAAAAAACTGAAAAACATTTCAAAAAAAAAAAAAAATTTAATTATAACGAGGATTACATTGAACGGCAAATCAACGAAGAAAAAAAATTTTCGTTGAAATTTTTTTCGTTCGAAATTTGAATTGCACCGAACCAAAGGACTTTGGTGCGAGTTGAGAATAAAAATGATATTAAAGGAATACAAATTGCGAGGAAGCGCCCGCTCGTTGCCATAACAGCTCACTTGCGAAATTCTGCTTCGCAAAAGTATCGTAATTGCATTCCGCGACCTTTTTTTTCCCCCCTAATGGAAGGTGCTAACCACCGGCTGCAGCCCACCTTCGCTCCGTGCAGTCAAAGTGTATTCTGCAAGCTCGTAAAAGCTTGTTGCTCAACGTACGGCTTGACAAAATACGAGAACAAAAGAAAGAAAAACAGCAGCGGTCCCGCAATCCTTTTACCCATCATTCGTCACGGCACAACTAGTGCGCGGGCCGCACCGAAGCCAAGAGAGTAAAATATAAAATGCGAGACGCAGCACAGATTTCGCTCGGTCGTTAAGACAAACTCGATTACGATTTTACGAGACGTTCGTTTCATCCAAAACCCACCGCACTCGTCAGGGCAGACCCTGCAAATCTTTTTGGAACGATCTCACGAATCCACTGCCAATTGCCAACCGGCCCCGATAAAGATCTGCGTCTGCGCCTAATATAACCTCAAAAGTAATTAAAACCACACGTGTTCGAAAGACAGATGGGAAAGGCTACAGAGATTTCATCGTTGCATAGAAACAAGCCTTAAGGCGGACAAGTGTTTTTTAAAAACATAGATGCTAAATATAGTACCTGGTAAAGGAGAAGGATAGACGTTTCAATTGTACCGTTGAAGCATATAGCGAGAGAGAAGCGATATATCTTTTTTAATATTCCAGTAGCAGTAGAAAAAAAAAGAAAGAATTTGCGTAACATATTCAAATATAATAATATACATTGCGTATCGTCTAAACGAAACCCACGGGCTCCCAGGAGGAAACTCTTTGAAAAATGTAAAACGTTGAAACCGTCAAGATGGAATATACATGTGACTTTAAGCCGTAACCGTCACCGCGTTACGTTTTCACGTGATGATATGGTGCATTCGCAAGTAACTGCGACTCGAGCGACGGGATAAAATTTTTATACTCCGTGGACCAACTTTTCTCTTTGTCTTATCGATCAATTCCACCCGTTGTCTTTCTTCCCGGCGAAACAACTTTTATGTGACCAATCTTATTATCCCTATCGGAACACCGGAATACCGCTGACAATATTCTTACAATCTAATCATTTTTCTTCGGGCATTCCTTACCTATCTCTGCTCCTCCTTTATCCAGGGTTCCTCTATACTATTTCGACAATCCGATTCCTCCCATAGAGAAACTCTAGGATAACGAGCGAGTAAGAGGTAACGTCTGAAGCACTTTAGCAAACTACGTTTCTCCGGAGTTTCAGCTTGGGGCGAGTCTTCGACTTACTATACTATAGTTATACGTGTATGTATAATAATAATTAGTTACAAGGAAGATAATTTAATACCGACCATCGCACTATGGATACACGAGCCAAGGACGATACGTGCTACATGGAATCCTATATTGTAATATAATATTATAATAATCATACATTGTGAGTACAGTCTAACTTAAAGATAGATAATTATAAAGTTTTTATAGAAAAATTAGAAATAACAATTCTGTTGACATATTTTATTATTCTCTTAAATCCAGATCAGTACCAGGGATGCTGTCTGCTAATTCCAACCACAAAACTTACACGACAAAGTCTTGAGGAGAAATGAATCCCAGGAGTCCTGTGTCTCTTCGATGAGAAATTTAATTTTCTCGATAGGAGCTTCCCAGCGGCTCTCCTACAGGAATAAAGGTATCCTTACCCAAGGACTCCACATGCAAACAGAACTTGATCTTTTATCTATCCTATTGACGGTACTACCTTCAGTCTGGCGAAACTCTGGCGAAACATCAATAAAACCCACGCAGTCCCATGACCATCGGTAGGTACAAACTTTTCAGTAGTCCAAAACGAAAATTTTGATCGTCCCTCTGTACCAAAGTACAGTCCCAACAATCCCTTAAGATTTTCTATTTAGAATCTAGTCCAATATTTATATCCTCTGATTCCCTTGGCTCGTCTCATACATCCAATCTGCCAATGGCAACATTTTTATTTTCATCTTTCACTTGGCAGACGCTACCAGCTCGTTCGTTACCTTCCCCTTGATCCTTCCTCTTCTATGACAAACTCCTCTTCTCTGCCTTCTTTATACCCGTCAAGAAAATCTTCCAGGAGATACATTTCTCCTGATCTCCACTATACCTTTGTCAATCCTGTACAAAATCCTTTGGAAGATAAAAGTACGTAGTTCATCCTCTACCCGTACCCTTAGAATACCTAGTGTCATCAGACTCTTTTGTTCCTCCAGCTTCCAAACGGTCCATTTAGCCGTATCACTTTCAGAGCAATCCGGTCCATAGGTCTCAGGGAGTGCCTGAGGACTAACAAATGGTTTTCTGAAAAATCGGAAGGACCAAATCGAGTGCCCCTGTAGTCACGAATGGGACAATTTCCCTTCTGGTGGCTCGTTCATCCGTGTCCCGCTGACGTACAGGATGGGATTTCTCATCTTATATCGTTAACAACATATCTCCTACGGGGGTAAGACTGCTAGTGAACCACCCTATTGAAAGGAGGGAGCGAAACTCTATGCGATGACACCGAGCGAGGGGTTGTGTAGTGTTGACGCGTCACACTCAACTTTTTATTGGCTTCTAGATGTCGACCGGACGTCAGTCAATCGAAGACCCGAGATTACGTTCAACCCGAAAGCCTTGCGCAGCGCCTGAATTCCCTAAGCAAAAAAAAAGTCTCATCCGTCAAACGGCCCGAAACACTTATCGGAACCCTGGCTTTTTATTGCCAGCTAATTTTGATTTATTTAGCTAACCGGCCCCTCGTGGTTTTCTGTAAATTTGACGATTTGTCATCGTTACGTCGTCGTTACCATACGTACGATACTTAAAAATAAAATAAATAAATCAACCGACCTCCAAAATCGATGTACACGTACGAGCCTCAAGAGTCGTGATAATTGAAATAACATTTTTGTAAATAAATAATTTAATTATTGACGCTTCATTTATATATGCCTGTCGGACGCAGTAAAGGTATCGTCGTTGTAGCGTCGCTCGATCGAAACCACGAATGTAATATGATTCGATCGTCTATTAATTTCCATTCGATTTCCGGGCGTAGTACTTCCGTATATATAGTATTAGCAAGTACCTTGGGAAGCACGCGACCCGATTCGAATCCTGCTAATCCGTTCGATCGTCCGTCCCAGTTACGAGCTTTTGTGGCTCCAGCTTTGGCTGAAATGCCTGCGGAAAGCTCGATGGCTCCGACTCGGCAATAGAGACGTACTACCTCGGGAAGTTTATCGTTCGCTGCGTTGCTTCTGCTTCTTCGGTTCCAGACTGGCAAATCCATTGATCGTAAAGTAGAAGGAAGAGAGGGAAGGAGAAAGAAGAAAAAGAGACAAAAGACCGAAGGAATACAGACATTTCGTATTCGCACGTACGCGTGATACCTGCGTAGTCGCGAGATCGTTTCGGGCCAATCGTCCGCTCGTAAAGTGCGGTTATTTTTTATGTTTTATTGGTAAAAACGCATGCGCCACGACACCTCTGCGCCATATTTTCCCTGGGACACATATGTGCCCGCCCTGGGGCCACGTAAGTACATAGAAGGGATTTTCAATAATAACCAAATTTATGGCCATCGAAAAGATCTCGTTTATAGTGAGCTTCTAGCTTTGGAGATGCCAGGGCTTTACTCACGTTTTAAATATTACTCTGTCTTATATATTGATAGTTATTGTTATGCTGATTCTTATATAATTTCAAAAATTGACCATCTTCACCTTATGCTGCGTCCAATTTCTTTTTTAGTACTGTTGTAAGATTTAATTCGAAGGCAGCTGAATAGGTTAGGTTTGTAAGGTTATTACGTATGGGTCTTATTGTATGTACAGTACACGTGGATTTTACATGAAAAGTAATTGAACGAACAAAAGTCACATTGACGTATGAACACAGACAGTACCTGTGGTTAAAGAAGCCTTTGGAGTAACATGAAGAATTTAAAGATGATACGTCAAAGAACAATTTCGACTGACTTACTTCCCGTCTCGATTCAAAGAATCCCCAGCGAAGCAGTAAGGAATCTCATTATTTTTAAAGATTCATTCTCCTCGTTATTCGCGAACTTCGATAATGCCTCGAAGATACAGACTGAATGCACGCTACTAAACGTAATGGCGGAAAAGAACTCGTTCGCGACTCTTCGCCATCCTGCAACTGTCCTGTCGTGTCTTCTTGCTTCTAGAACTTTTGAAAAATAAAAATGACACGAGGGAACAAAAACAAGATCAACGTTCTCCCTTACGATTCTCAAACGACTTTCTAGTACAGTTTTCCATGTCAATAGACAGCGAAGAGATTTTACGTAGATTTTCTTGACTTCGGCTTATTCTATAAACGGACTCGCAGTTTCGTTTCGTGCATAAAATTTCTTCTTCCCACGAAGAAAAAACGTCGGATCTTGACGCGAGCGGTCGGCACGGCAAAGTGCCGGATAATGCTCCTGGCATTATTAAAGGCGCGTTTACGTTAACAACGACGTCTACAAATCACGTCGCGTTACCAAATTGAAGCCAGTCCTTTGTTAAGGTGTAAAACAGCAACTTGCGAGATTACGAGTGGACGACGTAACGATCGGCAACCCTTGCAACGATAAATCAACGGCCGAAGGTATTATTGGCACAAAAATGGCTTGTTCGGGTTTTGGGCTTCCCAAGGTCGATAAGTTAACCCTGGTAATCGGGCGGAAATATCAAACGTATAATACATCGGCGGCAGTTGAACATTCCGATAACATTAGTCCTTGCGTATCATGCGTCTCGAAACGGGAGTTCTCGTATTTGTACATTCTTTAGCTCATTCTCAAATCGACCGTGAAACCTCGATAGTGTCTAAATTCAAAAGCGATGTTACGCAACTTATCTAACGTAATGCTCAGCATCGCGTAGGACGACGCTATGCATAAAATTATTCTAAAACTTCTTTCAAGTACTAACTAAAATCATTACGAAAAATACGGCGGTCGCTTGTATCTTAAATAAAAATATCATTTTACAATTCATCGTCGCTTTCCGGCACAGTTATTTTCAGACGTGACAACATTGAAAAAATAAAATAAAAAGAAAACTCAGTGAAAGCCGATACGTTAACTAAATTGATCGAGACCTTTGAAAGCCTTAAAGCCACGGTTCGCCAATCGCGTCGAAAAGACCTTCGAGTATGTATAGCAGAAGATATTTACATCTATCGTCAGCAAATTCGATAGATTTATTTCCCACGTAAACAGAGTTGATCAGTTGGCAACTACGTACAGCATCCCAAAGGATCCTTTATCATTGTAAAATAGAACGGATACGTGAGCGCCATGAAGTCTCCAGTAAACGTTAATTACGGTTAGTACCGACAGCCTCGATCGCTGTGAAAATTAGGGACGATAAAAAAATGTATAAAAAAAAGATCTCAAGACTAAATTAATATTTTCACGTTAATTGCGGACCCGGCTTTAAGTCGCTACTCTTCTCTGCCTTCCCACTGCGTACAGCTGAATCACCGGTATCGATTGCATCGGATGCCAGTTATATAGATTAGTTTCAAATTCAAATCAATTATAACAGTACCGCCCGCGAGGTGTGGCCTACCGAATCTAATTAGCAATGCCGATTTAGCAAACCCTAATTGCGCGCCAACGTATCGCCCATAATTTATGCGACGACCGTGTTATGAATCACTGGACGACCATGTTTTCCACGGTGGACACGACCATTTCAAATTAATTTCTATACTTAATACGTGTTTCCACACACGTATGCATCGCGGGTTGCATGTCGTAAGGCGCAATAATCAAGATACAATAAAAGAATATTTAGTTTCTCCGTATCAGGTTTTTCGTCGCTCTACCGTCTCGCTCCTAACACATTCGTAATTCCTAGATGATCGAGAATCCTGCTCTTTCAGCTCGATGGAGAGCATCAGAAAAATAACATCGTTCACGCCCTAACAATTTCAACGGATTTAGGCGTCCCCCATTACTAAGAGAATTCGAAGGAGCGTCGTGCGTCATCTTAGCGCCGGCCACGGAGTTATAGAAGTTACTTGGAAACGGCCAAAATTTCAGATAATCGAGGAGTTCACCAGAAGGCAATTCTCCCGCAGGCGAATTCTTCCATCGCACGCCTCGGGTAGCACAGTCGACCGTTGAACCGAAGGGATAATGCTTCCTGCGACACTACATCCTAAAAGACTTATATACCAACTACTATGTACGTCTATGCGCCTATATAGTCAATACATAAAGTTATTACATAGGGTCTTCCTGAAAGCTTCCCTTGCAGGATATACCTTTGACATTATCTGACGCATTCGATTTTCATGAATTTCCTATGTAACTTATATATGCATACGTTTCTAATTATACCGAGAATCTGTCACGGCTAACTGTACATAATTTATAGGAATAATTAATAATCGGAAGAGTACAATATGTGTATATGTATTCCTTATATACAATATGGATACGTGAAAGCAAAACAGTTAACGAGGTAAAACGTTTAGCAAATTCGGTTGAGTATCCCGGAAAGCGGATCGATTGCGCGTGTGGCCGAATGAATGATTAAAATTAATCCTTCCTTCCTAACCGTGATGTGTCTACCCAACCAGGGACACCATTATCGAGCCTACCCGGCTGCTGGGTGAGTTACAGAGACAACCAGGGGGTTGGTCGTGTACTTTCTTTTTCAATTCCTGCGTGGCAAGAGGCCGATGAAACTTCACGAGTTAACCATTTGCATTTAAAGCAGCCCTCTACTGTGACGCTGATATATTCCTATCTATGTCGCAACTAACGTCAGCCGTATTTATAGCCAGTCGTCTACCATCTTGGCTGGCAAAGCTATCCGCCATAGACTCCTGGGGAATCCACGTGAACGGGTTCTGCAGTAATTCCTTTACAGCTCGGCAGCAGGACTCCTGACGTGTAAGTATTATCGCGAATTGAACTCCTGGACATCGGGACTGCTGGAAAGTTCGCTTGCGTAATTCAACTTGAACCATGATCGTTTCTTCGAATGGTAGGAGATTTCGAGGTTTATCCTACTTTCTCCTTTCTTTAGAAATTCTACTTGTAACGTTACCCACGGGGCGCGTTTCTTCGCAAACGAGGGGAACGAGGTTGAATGGCTTCGGTACTGAAATAAAATGTTGAACAATACTGACGAATGAACCACTGTATTTATTCGTAGTGATAAGAAAAAAACGTTAACTGTAAAACTCACGTTCCTCTGGTACTGCCTAATCAAATTTTTCTTAAATAGGAGTCTGTTTCCGTGGGGGTAGGAGGGAAGGATGAGGTTCCCGTCCTTCGTGTGCACAGCTGATTGTCAAGTTACACTTAAAAAAAATAAGTTCAAATTATAATTGTCGATCACCCGATAAGCTATAATCGATAGAATTGATATCGCGGAAGAGCAAGTAAAATAATTTGAAAAAAATTGAGTTTTCTATCGATTGTATTTCGTATTACTTTTACACCACTTCGTGATGTACATTTACGATCGCGGTTGAACCAACCTTCTTTTCTATTCAAGATGATTCGAAGAACCGTCTCTGTAACTTGGTAATTGACTCGAAATAAAGTTCCGCTTGCAAATTCTTGTTGAGAAACTTTCTCAAGAGTCGCGCATCGTAAACTTCACGTAGATTCCTTATCGTTCTGTGTAACGCTGCTTCGTTTCTCGTAAGAACCAGTGAATTCCATGGGGACCACTCCACCTCTGGACGAAAACGTACTAGTTGCAATTCCTCTAGATCATCGCATTCGGATATACCGGACTTCCCGTGCCAGATGTTCTTCACCAGATGATAAATAACTTTTGGACCTACCAGAAAGGCGACACTCGTGTAGGCCTTGGCTTTGGCTTCCGATCGTCTAATCGCACGCAGCATCCTTTCATACGGTTCGTAGAGAGGAAAAGGCTCTATGGTTCTTCGTAGACGCTGACAAACGTCACAGATAGATATACGCTGATGCTCGTCAACGGGAAATTTCTGATAAGGAAGAAATCTCTGACATCTTGTACAAAGTTTAGTTTTCCTCTCGAGGACGACGTCCCTGGACGTTCTCTTGTTATCAGTGACGTCCTGAGAGAAACCGAAGCTACGAACAAACAAAATAAAAGCGAATTTCAAACGATTCCTTAGTTGATCAGTCCATTTAGAATCAATATGACGAACCAACAGGTCCATCTCCTGATCGATTAAATACACTAATTCTTCGGCAGGTCGGCACGAGTGCGACTTCAGTAGCCTTTTCAACCTCAAAAGTAATTCCGCACGTTCCACTCTGCTTAGATTATCACTGCACAGCTGTTCGTACATCTTTTTATACTCCCTGGCACGCTGGACTCGCAGAGTTTCCATAATCACTGTTTTTCCACTGTCACTTTTCCAAGATGGCGCTCGTGCCAGATTTTCAAGGTATCGAAGATCTCCAAGTTCTTCGTTCTCCTTACGAACCTGCGACCTGATGCAGTCGATGCCTCGAAGTAGCTCCACTTCCTTCTGCAATATGAGGTTATGTGCCGCGAGCCTCGAACTCCTAAAATAGACGCGATTGGCTCTTTCCATTTCGCAGCGCCACCATCGTTCCAGTAGATTTCGTAGCATTTCAAAATCAGCCTGTCTCATTAATCCGGATGTGCCGTTTAATATGATTTTAAATTCCTTCTTCGCATTTTCTTTCTTCTTCTTCAAGGTTACCGGGCATTCAAATTTTTCATGAAAACTCGTCCTCTCCAATCGTCGAACGTTCAGCAAGGGTTGCGCCTTTATTCTCGCGCGATACGCTCTATAAAATCTTTGAATCTTTATGGCACTCTCGTTCAAGTTCCGTAAGTATATTTTCTCCTCTTTCGAGGGAACGACGTTCCTCTTTCTGGTCGCTATAATAATTCTATCCGTCACGCAAGGCACGCGACTAATGTCTACCGAAACCTGGATGTATTTGTCGTGCGATACGTTTGTGGACTTATGGTTGATACTTATGGTTTGGGTTGATTTGCTGCTTCTTCTATCCCAAGAGCCTTTTACATAATTTGGTAAGGTCTGTGTACAGGCGTTGTGATATTCCGTTCTGGTTAGAATATTTCTCCAGCCACCCAGAAAAGCCTTCTTCGTGCTCTGGTCTTCTATCTCGATCACTATCACCATCTTCGCCTGGGCGAAACAAAGAGAGAACTATATTGAAAAAGAGAATAAGGGAATGAAAGGAACAGAGAGAAGGACTAAGTACTGGAGAACGTGATTAAGAATAAGGATAATAGACAGTTCCTTGTCTCTCTCGCTAAATTCTTACGATCCTTGTAAAACTCGACCCTCGTCATTTTAACACGAAGCCGTAAGACAGTCAAGAGTAGAAGGTAGAGTAATTAAAAAATTACGAAATGATCATTTCAACCTTGCCGACTGAATAAATCAGTACATAAACTCCTATGTTCCTTGATGTTACAGTGTCTGACAATTGTTGTCTCAAATTCAACAGCAATGCAAAATCACTTTAAACACGAAAAAAGTATGCCTTTTCTTGGTTCCTTTAACGCCACCAAGCCGTCTATCCATCGACTACTTACTGACTTGAAGGAAGATCAGCCGGACTAGCAGCAGGATAAAAAAAAACACTTGAGAAGCGTCAGACGAAGAAAAAAAAGGTTAAAAGTCTGAAGTGCGCTGCTCAGTCGCGTCGTGAAGCTTGCAGCGACTGAAAGCCCAGGCCTTAAATCCAGCGTTGCTAATGGCAACCTGCTTGGTCGATTATTTCAGATTGTTGGACTATTATTTTTCGATCCATAACGTTTCTCTTGCGTCTATGCCAGTATCCATAAAATCTACATTTCTGATAGAACCAAGAAATTCTCAAGTGATAAATACAAATTTTACCAAGCAAATTGATACTCTTAAATGCTCACTACGAATGAAAGATTTTTAAAGACCGTTTTGAACCTTCTGGACTGTTAACTTGTATTGCAATATATTTAAAACTTTGATCTTGTAATCAGCTTCCAATGAGCCACGTAGGAAATACTTCGATACCAGAAATATATTTTGAACCACGTTCCACGTGTAAACAACAGTACATTGTCTTAAATGCAATTCCCTGATAAAACGATAACGCGTTTATTGAATGGAATAAACCGAATCGATAATGAAAGCCAAATTAACTCACTGAGAAATGGATTACATAATATGTATATGGAAATTGAAGCACCGCAAAGCAAATTGAATAATCTGATCATTACTAATAATTGCTCTGTGACATTAGCGGCTAAATTAGCAGAAGAAAATTGCGCACACAGTTTCGACATATTTAATACTACCCAATGATTACGTTAAAAAAATGAGAACCAGGCTTTGCAGATTATTTATTCATTACACATAATATGATTACTTGAGAAAACCTATAGAATCATTAACGCAATAAACAGGATCATAATTTTCAATGGTCTTTGGTGCCTTGTAATCCTTCCTATCTTGAACCATGTAGTATCTACCAGATTCTCTGTAATTCCGTTCAACCGCAATGAGATCACTAAAAATAATAAAAGATTCAAATTATTAATTGAGAGCCCAAAAAATTACCAAGCTCAAAAAATATTTACTGAAATTGGCTCTTTGCCACTTGATGAGCAAGAAATATATTTCGCATTAGATGCTCAGAGTAAGTGCTTCTAAGATCCTCAATGTGGTAATGCGTGTCTGCTTCCAGTTCCGTCAAAAGAATGCAATTCCAGGGAGACCATTCCTCGTCAACGTAAAACCTGATCAACCTCAAGGCGAACAAATCCGCGTTCTCACTAATAACCGAATGTCCATGCCATATGTCGTTAATGAGGTGATAAATACAAGACTCGCGTATCACAAAGGCCAAACTCGAGGAGCAATTCCTCCGGTGCTCGTCGGCTCGTATACGGCTTAGAAGACACGTGTAAGGATCGTAGTTTATGCGAGGAACTTTACTGCCTCGTAGCCAGGAACAACCTGAAACAAACGTTAGTCGTCAACTTGACGCAGTTGAGGAATTAACGATTAACCACAGAGACATTTTCGCTATTTGATACTTTAACGCTTTTGGTACGACCGAAAATTGACATTTATTACCAGCAAATCTCAACCTGACACTCGTAGCTGACAACTCCGAAGTAGCGTGAAAGATGTAAAAGCAGCACGTGAGGTAAAAAGTGTCCCGCAATAAGTGTCAAGTATAAATAAACTGATGTAGCATCTACGGAGGTCTTTGAAAGAAGTTCTTAGTATATAGTAACAATACTGTATATACATATGTATAAACCTACTTGTACAGTATGGCACTCTCTTTGTTCTCACTTGAGCCGAGAATCTGCGATACGGAAGCAATCTTGTACAGCTCCTACAAAATTGTCTGTTGGTTTCCAACGGCTCTCGTAATTCTTCGTCTCGAATATCTTCAGTAGAAATACAGACACACGTTTGGGACTCACTCACAAAGTACAAGTAGGCATCTAGACAGTATCCAGTTTCATTCGTTGGGATTAGATGATAAATGACGAATGATTGACAATAATATTGTAGGTTAGCTTAAACATTTCATACTTTTTACCCTTTTTCGGAGATTACCATACGCGAATCTCTTATTGCCTCGTGACAATAACATTATCTCTTGATCCAACAGGTACAACAATTCCATCGTTGGTTGGCAATTATGTTGTTTCAATGAATTCCTTAGCAATAGTAACGTCTCCATGCGTTCCTCCACGTTAACATCGAGATTCCGTAAACTTTCATAAATGGCATTGTACTCCCGGGCTTTTTGTACTTTCATACTAATCATCTCTATCGGCTTTCCTTTGTAACCGTTCCATTGAATGGAATTGCAATTGCTTATTAGAAACTGAAGAAGCTTCTTTTCGCCATGAGCATTTGCGATTCTCTGTCTGTGCTTGTCGACGTCATTGAGCATCCTTATGGTTTTCTCGAGTATTTTACCACTTTCTGTTCTCTGCGATGCATTGAAGTACTGCGCTTTTATTCGATTTGAACAAGACGATCTCCAGTTGTCGATCAGGTTGTACAAAATATCGAAATCTGCTCTCGTTCGCGGATTACATTGTCTAAATAGCTCCTGCTGATATCGACGACTGCAAAAGGAGAATCGCTTCTGATTCTGTGTGAGCATAAACATCTTCAGACTTACCGATAAAGTAGATTCAACTCTTCCTCTAATATTTTACAGCCTGTCAGAGCTTGTCTGTATGTATTAGCGCATTCTTTGGCATACTTTATCAGTCTATATGCTCTGTAATATTTTTGAATAGTTCGTACGCAGCCATCGATGTTTAATCGTGATTGCATTTCTTCGAACGTTTCATAAGGACTGGCAGAGATGTATTTGTCAGATACGTTAGGGACATAGCAGTCGGGTCTGAATGTATGAGAAAATTATAATATTAAAGATAAACATTATTCCAACCGATATTTCAATATGGTCCATTCAATGAAAACTGTTGCTTCAAAAATATTTCTACTCTGTCATACCGCCATGTTTGCGTCGCCCGATCGTAAGAAGGTTGCACAACTTGATCTCTAGTTTCGAAAGTTTGGGTCTCATGGCTGCATTGTTGATCATTTTCTATGTCTTTTTTATGCGGTCCAGTCTGTGACGTGGCATTTACATATTCGGTACCGTTAATCCTGTTTCGCCAACCTCCTAAAAATGGCTTCTTGATTCTCCGATCCTCGAATTCAGTGTGCATCGTCATATTTTGGACTCTCGCCAATTTCTTCAGAATCAGAGAAATCCGATTCACACTTTTGCTTGCGTCATGATATACGTGAACCTTTGTTCACCACGCAAGAGATAATCCATCATCGGATAATGATAGTGTAGTAGTCCTGTTATAGAAATGATGAAGGAACTAAGTTTCAACGTGTCATGAAATCGAAAAAAAACATCTGAAGGCATGGAAAATTATTTTCGATAGTGCGGAACACTGATAATGATTTTCTATTATTTTCTTAGCTATCTATTAGAGCGAGACCATAACAAAATCGTTAATGTTATACAGAATCGACCTATTACATTTATTAGTCGGACAATTCTTGTGCTATAAACTCTTTTTCCGAATGTCCATGTGCTGAGTATTCTTTTATATAAATCATATTAAGTCTTTGTACACATGTATGTTATTAACATCCGTTACACGTGTTACGTTTGCATCTATCATTTTACATTAATACGTTCTAGACAAAAAATCATGCAGTACAACTTGTTCATTGGAAATCATTATTATTTACATAAACGAGAAGTTTTTTAAAATTAAGAAAGATTTGCAGTTGAAAGTAAAATAAATAACATTTCATTTAATTTGGAAACCAGAAACTGTTAAACACGTTATGACAATTTAAATAAGTTTTATCAAAGGGAAATGTTGATGGCTTGAGAAGTCGAACACTGGTGGTTCCTTGGAGTCTTTCTTGTGCCCACCGGCTAACAGCTTCAGGACAATAAAGTTTGTCTTGGAAACCTTCAGCAAGTCATTTATCTAAAATTAGATTAAGAATTCATTAGAGCACAGGGAAAATACATTTTAACATCGAAATTCATGACAAGAAATAATTCATGACTCTACCTCATTTACAATATTTGTATTTGCAGGATGCAATGATAATGCACGTTCCAACATATTCCTAGCTTGATGGAAATGACGGCATCCCGCAAGATATTGCATTTCACTCGTAACCTTCTCCTGTAAATTAAACCCAAAACGTATAATTAAAATAATCATGCATAATTCGGCTGCAAAAAAAAAAATAATCGATACTCACGTTTCTCTTATGCATTTGCGCGTTTGTCATTTCCAAAAATTCTTGATAATGAACCGGCGGAGGTGTAAGAAGCGCAGAAAATGGTAATAATCTGTGCTCGTATCTTACACGTTCAGAATCAAATTGTGATTCCGGAAGTGGTATTTTATCATCTATACGGAATCCGACCAATGCCTAAACTCATTAGGTGAGAATTAATCCATATTTTTCATACAGTCGCAAGAACGTAAATAATTATTAAAACTAATTGAGAGAAAACTCATTCAATTACCTTGTAATATCCGCCGCAAATATTTTGCATAGCTTGGTACATCAATATTTCCAAATTATACGGTCTCGGCGCCGACTTTTTCTTTTTACTCTTAGAATTTTTCCTTCCGCCGCGTCCTTTATGCAAATCGGTATGAACATCTTGTTCCATTAAGAATGAGTCGGCCCTTGTAATGGCGGAGACTAACCAGCCATACAAAAACTCGTACAAATACCAAAATATATAGTGATATTCATGCACAGAATACAATTCCAATTCAAAGCCACTTAATAAATACATCACCATTACTCTTAACGTATGGTAAAGAATCCATGTTCCAAAGCAAGCAAGATGAGGCCGAGGGGTGTCACTTTTTAGTGATAGCGTATGTAAATATCCATCCACACGTTCAGCCTATGAAATAAGGATACGATATTATTACTTAAAATATATACTATAGTTAACTATATATTTATCAATACTGCTTTTATAAATACCTCATCTTGCAACGTGGCGAAGTCTTCTAGCAGGTGGGCTAACTTATCCCTTTGCCTTGCTCTATTATGTCCACTAAGTTGCAATAGACTCGCGAATAAGCTAACGCAATGAATGAGGAAACTATCGACATATTCTTTAGCCAAATGATTTTGGAGCAGCGTACTTTTAGGCATTAATGCTGGTGGAGCTATGAAGTTGCGCGCAGCATCTCTGAGAACGTCCATAAAGTTTTGTGTACCAAAGACTCGATTGGTCGTCGGCAGATAAACAATTTGTAGCATTGATCTTGAGAGTATGCAAGGACTCTGGCGAGAGAATTCTAAAAAGAAATCCTGCGAAGAAAATGTTTAACTGTAACTTTAAATGTACGTTCAATTTACACAGCTCGTACTTACTAGAGCCCCATGGAAGCCAGTGTATCCTGTTATTTTAGTAACCATCTTAAAACGATTCAATAATTCGTCTATATATTCTAAGGCCTCGATCCTTGGTTTTATCTTAGTATATCTTGGAAATGTCGGAGGCAACAATCTTTGGTTTACCATGGGATCGAAGCCCATGATATTTGGATAATTTGCTGTAATGCATAATAGATTAATAAGCGTTTTTACGATATAAGCAAAATTTTGAATCTATTATTTTTTATAAATTACTAACATGTTTCATCAGCATTTGCACCACGGTTAACTGTTTTGATCATCACTTGTATCATATCAGTACAATTCGATAACAACCTTTGGCAATCAGTTAAGTTTTGATGAAGCTGTTCCTTTCTTCCCATTAGGGATAACGTTTGATAGAACATTTTTGTAAATCTTATTCTTGCATAGAGAGCCAGCCCATCATTATACTGTATTTAAAAAAATTATATTTTTCTATAGATACAAGGGTTACGAACGAAATATTCCTACCATAATATACTATTATTAAATATCTACTTACTTCTCTTTCCGTTTCATCGTCCACAGGCTTTATTCTACTTTTTCTATGTAATTCTTCTTCTACCTCCCGTAACATAGATATGGTTCTTTGCTCAGTAATATCTTCTTGCAGTCTATATCCGTATGTAACACTCTGAAAGTCTTCTTCCTCAAATACTAAGGCCTTATTGACACAATCTTTAATAACCTCAATTATCTTATATACAGCATAGCAGAATGTTTTCAACGGTTTATCACCGATCTGTCCAGGTTGATGCAGATATAAATTTGTGAATACAGTTTGGGCCAAACTGTGTCCTTCCAGCCAAGAAACTATGCATGAATAAGTTGAGTCTATGATTCCTATTACTTCAGCTGAAGTTAAATTGTCTAATTTAATGGTGCCAGATTCGACAGCTTGTGCAAATGTATATGGCTTGTTGTTTCCACGATTACAAAGCATCCCTGCATCCATTTTTGGATCCATCATTTCGATTGCTGACATTGCTTCAAAGAGACCAAACAGCTCATCATGTAATAGCTCTCCCAGCTCTAGACCTAATAAGAAATTGAATAAATAATATTGATTTAAGAACCTGATTAAAGTAATTGAATTCTGTGCAAAACACATTGAATATATTCCAAACATTACTTGTACTCCAAGTGTCATGTACATCAATATCATTAAGACAATCACTATCAAATATTAATAAATGATAACCTGTGATGGCGTCGAAAAATTCTTTGGTGATATCCGTCCAATTGTATGTGATTTGATCAATCCTATGATGAAAAGTTTTAATATCAATTAGAAATTCCCGCCGCATAATGTGGTATAAGTATGGTAGGCATTAGGTTATTCGTTTAGATCATGTCATTGGAATTATTTTACAAAGATTTTACAATTTTCTAATTGTAGAAAGTTATTACGAAAATAACATAAACTCAAAATTTATATTTGTATCATCAACTCACTGGGATTCTTTGTCATCGTTTATATCTACAGAATTTGGATCCTCTGCCATTGTCGCCATTTTCGTGGACTGATCTCTTTACCAGTCGATTACACCAAACCTTACAAGCAAAAATCCCCATTAAAACTATAAACCACCCTGAATACGAATTGTCTTATCTTAAAAAATCCTACACTAATCACAGTTTATTAAATTAATCATTAAATATAATAGCATTTCTATAGGAACGTCATTAGGGAAAGACTTCTTGAATGAAATCAATTTTATTCATAAGATTGCTCGTTACAAATATCAACTTATAAACTAAATAGATAGTACATTAGATCACTGTAATCTTATCGCCCTTTCTTTAATTACAACCACATCACGTATTTAAACCTGGTTTCATTGAAGAACTAAACAAATCCAGTTGCCATGAAATCATATTCACTGCGGGTGGTATCATCAAATGTGGTTCTAGAATAATACATTATGTTTTGTTATTTAGTTCACTACAAGATACTGTATAGTCTTACCTATTAAATTCTCTGGCATATTAATTTGATTCAATTGTGGAATTAAAGCATCCGGTCTACCCCGCTGAAATACAGAATTGTAAAATAATAAGAATACTATACACAGATCATAATAATCATTACTTTAACTTTCATACCATTTCCATAGATGTGCAGGTAGAATCTTTATTCCAAATTTCAGATTGCCTTGCTTTTACTATGCTTAGTAATTCGGTAAGACAATTTTGAAGCTTCTGTGCACATTCGTCTTCATAAAAGTGCATCAAAACTTGAGACAATGCATGAATTTCTCCTGGAAGTCAAAGAAAAATTTATTTTCTCCACTGAATCTATATAATGTAATCAAATTGCAATACACTGAGAAAGTGTATGACAAATATCAACCTCTTAATCCATATGCATTTATCACAAGTTGGTGAAGAGTACGTATTAATCCCAAATCTTCGTAGGCACTTCCCTCCTTCATACTCAAAAGTTTTCGTTCATGTTTCCTACGATTCTTACTCGACCTATAGCTTCGTCTAGACATATTACATAATTCATACAATGAGATGAATCAATGTGTACAATAAATCAATTCTTAATTTGCTATGTACCCAGACGATCTCGAGGATTGTGAACCTCGACTACTAAGAGAGCCAGCCACACTACTTGTGTCACTGAATAAATCACTGTCTCCTCTTGCAGCAGCTGCTTCGTGATCCCATTCGTCTCCGTCTATAAGATGCATCTGTTTTGCAGCTTTTTCTGCTCGAACCACATTGAGTCTATTTGTATGCTTTTCAAAATCTTCTTTATATTTATTAATTTGTGATAACAAATAATCTGCATGTTCCTGTACCCCTGGCTTCACGTGTGTTTCTAACAAAGTTCACCGTTGTTTGAAGAACTGTATTGACATGTTTGATGCAGAATTTACATTTTTTATATATTCCGTACATACCAATCAGATCCTTACGCTGATTGGAATAAGCTATTCTCATTGCGTTACTCCATTTCTTGCCTTCGCATAAAGTAGCTACAGTATCCTCAATATTTTGCAAATGATTTATTAAGATTTCAGCAGCCTCTACATATCGTCGATCGTCCTTCAATTTCGACACAAGGTCCTCATACAAAATATGTAAATCTGTAATACTATAAAAAGAATAGGACATGAATATAGTTTCATTAGAAATGATAGTCTGAGAAATATTACATAAAAAAATTAATCTTACTTCAGTTTTAATCTTGTTGCAATAATAATAGCTTCTTGCCAGTTGCCAGCAAATTTATAAGCATTCAGTGCACTCTGCAGATTATCACTTCTGCAGAACATAATCGCTGCTTCACGATATTTCTTTTGACCTAATAAATATTCACCGAACAACTTTGCCACATCTTTGTACTCTTCGCTGTTTTTGTCGAAGAGCTTTAAAGCTTGCACATATAAACGATGATTGCGTATCAATTCAATGCACTCATTGAACTTCTCAGGAATTTTTGAAATATGCTTCAAAGCTGATTCATAACGCTTCAGGTGCTTATCTATCGAGTACTTCATGTAATTTTCCTCCAAGTTTTTCAGACCATTTAACAGCGGAATATACTCCTTGGGATCCTTTTGAGATTTTGATGCAACGAACATGGTCAGATCAAAATCGTACATGCCCAGAGCCACATTGAATAATACATTCACATCCACTAAGTATAACAAGTACTTCAGAGCTTCTTCCGAAGTGTTATGTACTTGATCATTCTTCTCGTCTTCGACTTTCTTTACTTGCTTTATCTTTCCAAGGGCCGCCTCAAGGCCTTTTAATTCTTGTCTTTTAACTAAACTGGTTAAAATTGGCTGTATCAATTTATCCGCATTCTGACAGTTCTCCATTATATCTCGCAGAAGTGCACAAACTAGTTCCACTTTATTCGATTTGTTCTCTAATGACCCGGACTGAGTATTGGCGATCTTTGACATTCGATCTGGATAACAACTTGCATATATCGTTGTACTAACATCTTCGTCTTGCAATTCAGATAAAAAGACACTCAGCCAACTCGGTTTCTTAACATCTTCAATGAATTTCTTAGCGTTCTGAATGAACCGTGAAGGGTCGTGATCGTATATTAAATTCAAATTGATACGCTGCTTTCTGATGACTTCAAAGGCAGCGAAGTAATTTAAATTGTCGAGATGATTTCCAATGATATATAGCAATAAAGCTCTGGGCTGTATACATTCTAAATTTCCACGAGGCATCTGTAAGATAGTTCTAGTATCCTTGGGAACAGCTAGAATCAGATTCGATCCTCTTTCTACTCGTCTCACACTAAAACCTAGAAACAAGTCATCAATTAGAATCTGCGGCCAAGAACTAACAATAACTATTGTAACAGACCTATAGATGTCTTATCGCATTCATTTTCCCATGGTTTCACAGTGAAATCTTGAGTGAATAATTGTTCGAATCCTCTTTCATCTAAAGTCACGCAAATTAACGCGTGCTGAAGTGTAGTAAGCAGCAAGAATTCTGTGTGAACGCACAAGCTTGTAATATTATTGGCGACTTCCTTTCCATCAATGTATAGCCGATTTCTTTCAGTTCTGGACACGATTACAAGTTTTTTTCCAATTCTCACTACCTGGACTTGAGAGCATGACTCTGGAAATACTACTTCTGTTGGAACAATGCCTTCGTGTTCAGAATATTTAAAAACAGATCCTTCCACAACTATATATGCTGTGTCCTTATTGGGACTGGGCACTATGTGCTCGATGAGACCATCCATAACATGAGTTTCTCTATAATATAATGAGAAGGAAATTCTGCTTATCTGAATATCAGTTTAAAAAAAAAAAGTAATAATCGAACTTACTCAACAGCAATGGAGATATCTTTTTTAGTGGACAGACCATCGACACGTAAAATGCACAGAAAAGAATGTGTGTTTAACGATACGGAACATAAGATTTTGTTCTTTTTGAACCATAAAAAATGATGCATAATGAATGACATATTTTGAGGAGCGACTTTTGGTACTTCCCAATTAATGTCACACGTGGTAACATGATTGTATTTCAATTCCACAGATTTCTGTAGAGAAAAATATATGAAATTTGTAAGATAAATATGAATAACCCGATTGATATTTTAAACTTGTATGATTTTTTAAATAATACGTACGTCGATATATTCATAGAAAACTATTTGGTTGTTGCTCAAAACGCAGAACATTCCATTTGAATTTATCCAAGAATCATCATCGCGATTGTCAGGACCAAAAACGATTGAATTTATAGGTTGATCCATTTGAATAACTTGATGTGCCATTGGCGGTGGGACGATACCGATTCTAAATCCTGTCAGTAAGGCTTTATTCCCGTCAATAACGCCAACTAAAGCTTTATCTACCACATCTTGTGCTCTGCTCCCATCGGTTACCCAACGAAACATGTAAGTTATTAAATTTTGAGCTGTTAGGATATGCAGTCTTTTTCCACACCGGAGCATCGAACTCCATGAGAGATAAATTACAGCATTTTCCTTGGGAAACGAAATTGTTTGTTTCAAATACCAATGATAATTGTTTTGTGTCCATAATTGGATCAATGTGGTACCATCAATTATTTTTTCACACCATACTGTCAAAATATCTGAATCATTTGACCATAAGACCTCTTTTACCTGCAACAAAGGAATCCCACATGAAGTGGTTGTCCCAATTAATTTTGCATAAGTTTGCACTTCATAAGATTAATAACAATATATAATAACACATACATTTATTTCTTTTGGCTCGAATGGTAGGGAAAAATCCCCATGTTTCAATCCATTCTTTTCAAAAAATGCTATTACGTGTTTATTTGGCAGTCTCTGAGTACTTGCTATCAGATTACCCAGTGGCCTCCAAGATAAATGTTCCTCTAAACCATTGATTGTTTCACTGGTGTATTGTACAATGCCTTGCCGATTAAATACTTTGAAACAACGAATTCCTGTTTCCTTTAACAAAATACTAACGGCAAACAAAGTACCATCGCCCCTCCATGTAATTCTAGGTATTCCATTATCGAATTCAATTTTTTCTACAACTGCTGGTTTGCTTTTGGCAGCAGCTTTACCTTCAGAGCCATGAAACTGTGTTTCCTTCTTTCCCCAGCCAACAGTAACAAATTGTTTTTCTCCAAAATCAGGAGCATTTAGATCTACCTAAAAGAATTACAATGTAGTAAGATACCATGCTGACAAATATTTAAACTTTTATCTGTCAGTTTTATGATTACCTCTGATATAATTTGAAAATTTGTTGTCATAGTAACAACAATTTCACTGCCCGTAACTAAAATCAGAATTTCCTGATCAGGGCTAAGTTTCATACGCTGTATTCCATCACTATTTTTCATGCCTAGACCATTTTCAGTTCTTAGTTCTGTGTCTATAACACATAAAGCACCAGAATCGTATGCACAAAACACCTGTTGCAAAGTACTGCAATATTCCAGTCCAACTGGTATCGCATTATCATCTATGTCAACTTTGACCAACATCATTGCTTCTTTGCTATTATAGTTAATAACAAAGAGATTATTTCCCTTTAGGATGTATAAGTCATCGTTATCTGGATTGTTACAGCAGAGAATATTTGGGTTTGTACAATGACATAATTCATCATAACTGAACTCCTCCAAACGGTAAACGTTTTGGTAAAGTACCGTCAAATTCTTCATGATTACAATCAACTGCTTTACAACAATTAGATGAACTTATCAACTGACACACTCTTCACTAAAGGTTATAACTACACGTGAGTAGTGAAGCAAAGTGAAGACACAAATGTTTCACGGTACCTACATGTTACAAGTACTTTAATTTGCTAAAAGTTTCGCAACTAACTTGCTAGATGGCACCACCTCCCCAACACTCGGACGATTATTTACATTGTGCCCAAGTAGGATGTAACTACTCCAATATTTAATATATATTAGCAAAATCCAGTAACAATTTGAAAATATGATGGGACGAATGAAAACTGTTAAATAAATCAATTTAATTGCAATTCGATAACACTTTGGCTATACTAATTAAAGAATTGCATAGAACCGGCATTTTGCATAAAAGAATGTGTAAATAATCATAGCGGTATATGATTTATTACGCAAGAAAACGAACGTAATTGGTCGAAACAAGAGAAGCCATAAACGAAGTAGCCAATGAGTAGCCAGAGACTACGTTAGTGGGAGTGAGACGTACAGTGTGCAAACGTTCAAACTGACGGTGGCGTCGCTGCGGCTCTGTTTCCGTTGACTAAAGTAGTCCGAGTAGTCCGAATCGTAATCGTGGAGCGTTTTGTGTTCTAACCGTAAAGGCTTGTTCGACAGGACGCGGTGTTGCTCTACGCTAAGTGAATGATTCGGTAGTGCGAAAAAGTGGTTGTGTGTCGAACGATTGAAATAGTGCGGAAGTAGAATAAACGTGCTCGAAAATGTCGACGAAAACGAGCAAAAAGACTGTGGTTACATCTTCGAGCGTGAGCTCCGCACAATCGCCACAGCCCAGCACCTCGACGCCGATCGGTCGGCGTCCTGGCAGCCCGCTGAGCCCGACCCGCTATTCTCGTCTTCAAGAAAAGCAGGATCTTCAGAATCTTAATGATCGTTTGGCATGTTACATCGAGAAAGTACGTCACCTCGAAGCGGAGAATTCGCGACTCACCCGGGAGGTCCAGACCACCCAGGAGACTGTCACACGGGAGGTGTCCAACATTAAATCTATGTATGAACACGAATTATCCGATGCCCGAAAACTCCTCGACGATACTGCCAGAGAAAGAGCAAAGCTTGAAATCGACACTAAACGTCTTTGGGACGATAACGAAGACCTTAAAACTAAGTAAGTATTTCTTGCATGTTGGCTTACAAATAGGTTTTAAATATATCATAAGTCTCTGAGTCAAGTTGTTTCTATAGCTTATAATTTGGATAATGGTTTGTTCTTTGCTCCAGGCTTTTTCATAATTATAATACAAATGACTGTGTTTCATTAAACTATATCATGCAGTGTAGAAACTATTTAAGAAATACCTTGTACCTAATATTAGATAAATGAGCTCGAAAGTATTTCTGGGTTCGGCTTATAAAGAGAACATTAAAAGATATCTATGATATAAAGGCTAAAGAATGTGTACACAAAAGGTACATCTCAATTCTAAAAATTAAAGTAAATCCAATATAACTATGCTACTGAGCCTTCGACCCCATTCTCACAGTACATGAAAGACTTCCTGTTTTTCCATTTGAATTCAATTATTTTGAAATAACTTATTTTGTTTCTCTTTGATACACCAATTATAATCCCAGGAATCCTGTCATTTGCATTATAATTCTAGATCCAACAGATAGAAAAGTTTTTCCTGAAGATAAGGTAAAAGTAGGTCAGCATCAGGGAAGCGAGGCGTGTCGTGCGAACTACCCGTATATTCTAAATGCAATAAAATTTAGGGGATCAATACTTAAAACCGTTATACATAACAGTCTGCCACATTGTTGTAGCCTTGGACTATCTAAGCCATTGGAGCTCACGAAGTTTAAAGGAAGCAAGAAAAAAATACATCGGCATCCAAAATCTCGTTGAAAATCTCGCTTCTAAGAATTCCATAGGACATACAAAAATAATGTTTGCCAAATAAAAAAGTTAATACCAAAAAAGTCATGACTACAATGTCAAATTATTTCTCACGTAAATGCCGGTGAAGCGGCTTGAACGTGGAACAAATCGAACGTGACGCTACTACGAGGAGTTGCGTCACTTTTACTATACAGTGATGATGTCACCCGACATACCTTCCGTCCTGAAAACATTGGTTCTCGCGATCCTCGAGAGCGACACAGCGTTATTTTTATCCATCAGTAATGCCAGGAATTACTCTTCGATTTCATAAATTGAATTCCGCGGAGCATGATAAAAATCTAGAGGTTATTTTAAAAAATATATAATTCTCATTAACGATTCAACGGTATGTGAAAACCATCAATTTTTCACAGCATGAACCGTTTGCATTGAATCAACAAAATTTAAATGACTCAGGATCAACATTATGCATATGGGCTCCAATTATAATTCCGATTAGATTGAGATTCTTTTATCAAAATACAATTATGCTGATATCTAATTTCACATCCGTCAAGAAATTCCAGTTATCCAAATAACTCTGGTAATAAGTGCATCTATTAATGCGCCAATGCACACACGAGGAGCTCTAAGTAAATCACGTCTATTTCGAGATGTGATTAGCTAATCGCAAATTCAGGGGCACAAAAACACAGGATGACCTCAAAACAGAAATGGTTTCTGGTGCCCAATGGGTATAGAGTGAATGAAGTGTGGCTACGAAAATGTCTATGACATCATGTCGTTGGGTCCGTCATTATTATTCCGGCATAAACGGATCTAAGGTCTCGTCCACAATTGAGCAACGCTCTTCGAGTTTCCCAAGAAAGTTCACAAGACGGATAGAAACTGCTGTTTTATCCATATCTCTTGTATGAATTTTTACACATATATTGGCATATATGACATATAGACATACATGTGTACGAGGCAATCTTATCAGAAACCGGCGTTATGCAAATGAAGTTTACAAGTTGCGAATCGCCTTTGATGAGGAAGAATTTTTTAAGGGAGTCAAAATTCTTCTTGGCAATAATGAAGTTTCTGAAATATTGGACGTTAAGAATGTTCTATTAATAACTTCATAAGATCGTTAGACTGCGAGAATATAAACACGTGGGACGCATGCAATGTTGCGTGTGCATACACTGTGCGTCCTACTTGGACTGCACTTGACATTGCGGGTACTGCCTTCATGATTCAGTGATACATGCACTTGCGAGTCCCACGCTTATGGTGGTTAGGTTAGGTTGCTTTTATTTTTATCCGTTAAGCGAAATTGCCTTTATCGCAGTCACGTGCATAGGTACGTCTGAGATTGACTTTGCGGCTAATATCTATGTAAAATAAAGGCGACTTCGCAAGTAATATTAGATCGATGACGATCACGGCGTGAAATATAAATCTCTATGTAGGTCAAACCGTTTAAAATAGCGAGGACAAACACGCGATCCTTTAGTCAAGTCGCTGTTATTAAAAATGCTGCTTAATGATTTCATGTCATCTTAATTGATCTTTATTTCTCTTTTTTTTATTTTCGGGTAATTTGATGAGCAACTCTTTTTTTCAAGTACATTAATGTCTGACATGTAAACAAAACGGTCGAAACTGACGACACCAGCAGATTCCGTGTGTCGTCGGTGTGTGTCTCCCTTTATGGTTTTGAATGAGTAGGCCAAGGATAACAAGGTGGAATCAGTAAAAGTATTTTATCGCGATCGTACCTCACGCTGTACGTGTCAGAAGAGAAAACCTTGTGCTGGGTTCAATGTAAATAAAAGAAAATCTGCGTATTTCATCTCTTATGAAATTCAAATTTCCCGCTCGCTCGCGACGCCGATTCGTCACGTGAATAAGAGACCGAAAAGATATATAATTATTTTCAACAAGGACGACGACCGGTGACGACTTGCGTAACATTTTTATATTTTCCGTGGCATTCAATTTTTTTTCCAAAATATGCTAATTTCCTCCGCGATTTTATTGCCTGACGTCATTGCTTCATTTTTGACGCTTATCGCATCGTTCACATTTCTTTCCTTAGTCGTTTTTGTATTTTTACGCTCCGCAGTCATTCGGCATTCGAAAGTTACGCAAATTGGATTCATTAAGAAACTTTACTCCATGAGTATTAAATTTAGATCGACCTATTTTCAATGTTATTCATAGCTGTGTAATTAAATTCTGCATGTGTCGTTTCTTTTTATTCGTCTTGCTCGCCTTTCTATCTTAATGTTTCGTTTGGCATTCGGCCCAGCAACGATTTCTAAAAATCTCTCCACGATGCTGTGACGTTACGAAATATCCGCTGTGCTCTCAAGGAATTCTTGAGAAACTATAGGATGCTACTGTATCATCACGGTTTATCATATTCTTTGTCTTTTCAATTTTACTGGCAGTGCTGCTAGTATTTATATAGAGATTCGACTACTTGCTGTCAGATGGTTAGTGGGTCCTTGATAATTTCCTATTGAGACACGTATAACATTGTGGACTCAGTCCTCGTGTCGTTACTAAATACTTAAATAAATTAGGAACCTGTTCACATTGGCACTATGGAGCGATATTTCATAATTGTTAAGTTCTTGGTGAATTGCGCTGATACGTCGATTCACTTGTAGGAATCCTTTCGTGGAAGCTAACCTTGAACTTGAGATTGTCCGATTAATCTGTCAATTAATAAATGAGAGGTGGATTTTTTCTGACAGCTTTTGGTGCATCAACGAAATTGACAAAAGAGCCTATGATATATTTTGTATCGCCTTCGCAAGCTTTTATTAATTTGTTTCTTTTGTTTGTTAACGCGACGTTTAATAAATGAATTTTATTTCAGATTGGAGAAGAAGACCAAGGACCTACTGATCGTCGAAGGAAATTTAATGATCTATGAAACACGCTGCGGCGACCTCCAATCGAAGTTCAATCAGTCGCAGGCTGAACGTAAGAAGCTCGCTGAAAGAGAAAGAGAACTCGAGAAGGAAGTTGAGCGTCTAAAGGCTCTACTGGACGATGCTCGTAAGCACCTTGAGGAGGAGACCCTGCAGCGTATCGATCTTGAAAATAATATTCAAAGCCTCAAGGAGGACATCAGCTTCAAAGATCAAGTTTATCAACAGGAACTCACTGAGACTCGTACAAGACGCCAGGTCGGTTATAAATGAAATATTTGATGTTATAAAGAAAATAATTGGCTCCTGATGAAGATCTTGAGAGAAGGAGATCGTTGTGTATTAGTGGTGATGAAGTTAATTTTATTTCTTAGGTGGAAATTTCTGAGATCGATGGTCGCCTCGCTGAACAGTATGAAGCGAAGCTGCAACAGTCCCTTCAAGAGTTGCGCGATCAGTATGAAGCGCAGATGCGGGCGAATCGCGAGGAAATCGAGTTGCTGTACGAAAACAAAATCAAAAACCTTACGTCCCATGCGCAACGTAACAGCGGTGCTGCTAGTTTGGCTGTTGAGGAATTACGTCAGACTAGATCTCGAATCGATGGTCTGAACCAACGTATTAGCGAACTCGAAGCCTCCAACAATGCTCTCAACGCCCGTATTAGGTATTGTACATTGTCAACAATGACTGTTCTTGTTTAGTGCCGATGTTCTTAAACCTGTATAGAATTTAGAGTACATTTATACTAGCGTGAAGTAGATGTATAAGTCATGATATCGATTTACAGGGACTTGGAGAACATACGCGAGAATGAAAGGGCTCGTCACGCTGAGGGTTTGGCTGCTCTGGAAGCCGAATTAGCCCGAATGCGCGACGAAATGGCTCAACAACTTCAGGAATACCAGGATCTCATGGATATTAAGGTCGCTTTGGATCTCGAGATTGCTGCTTACAGAAAACTCTTGGAATCTGAGGAAGCTAGGTAAGGAGACACTGATACGATGATGCATGGACGTGGTAACCATTGAACATTGCTTTCTGGTTTTTCTGTAGTCGTATTATTAATTAATAAAATGTACAGGCTAAACATTACACCGATGCAGTCACCGAGCTCATCGGTCTCAGGAGGAAGGACCACACCTTCCAGACACACCCCGCTTCGAGGTGGAAAGAGAAAGCGCACCCTATTGGAGGAAAGCGAAGAGCGTAGCAGTAGTGACTACAGCGTTTCCGGTACAACAAGAGGTGACGTTGAAATAACCGAAGCGGATCCTCAGGGTCGATTTGTCAAGCTGACCAACAAGGGGAACAAGGTAGGCAAATATTCCATACATATTCTGGGTAGCATTATCATAATCTAAAAAAGTCAGCGACCCTAAAAAAAACTCTACTACAGGAACTGGTGCTTAGTGGATGGCAAGTGATCCGCAAAGCTGGTACATTGGAGACAGTTTATAAGTTTCATCGTACTGCCAAGATTGAACCTGGTGCCAATGTTACGGTGTGGTCAGCAGATATTGGTGCTACTCACGAACCACCATCCAATCTTGTCATGAAGGGCCAAAAATGGTTCGTTGCTGACAACATGACAACTACTCTTCTGAATAACGAAGGAGAGGTAAGTTTGCTCCTTGATTTAATCAAATACAAAATTTTATGTGTTGAGGGTGTGGTCTTTTTTGTTGTATGAAATTTGAGACGTTTTTCTTATTTCTTTTTTTTTATTACAGGAAGTAGCCGTGTCTGAACGCAAGAGACAACAGTTGTCCACTTCTCTGTCTCGACATAGAGAAAACTTGGGGTTTAGACCCTCCGAAGAACTTCACCATCAACAGGTAGCTGACTATGGATATTACTCATAACTATTAAATACATCAGACATATGACAAAGTAGATTTGCCTGCGCGTCTTTTAAATAATTTATTTTGCATGAAGTTATCTTCCTAAGGGTCTCAGTGGGAAACTGTATCTTATTAGAAACTCGTGTATCCACTGTAGTGTAACCTAAAATATTTCTACTCTCAAGAATACTTGAACGACAATTATTTATACCTTAGGCGTGAACGAGTGTCAAAGCGAATATGAAATTCGATGCATCTGCCGGCCACTTAATAAATTCAATGCGAATAAAGATATGTGTAGTCTAATGTGGGGGGTATGTCTTATCAATGTTCACTTCTTGTTTCATAGAGAAGATATCTCTACCCGTATTAAGCGTGCGGAGTCACGGCTCTGACGGGCAGCCTATGTAAGTTGTACTCAAGTACTCAGATGTTCAGATGTTCAGTCATTTCTCTATCAATTAATCAATACATTATCATAATATATAATATTATAATTTAAAAAAAAAATGAATATGTGGCTTCGATATATTGGTAGTTCTCTCATTACGCACTATGCATTTACTGCTCACGCTTCACTAAAACTTCATCTATTTCGAAAGTAATATTATTGTTATTATTGTCGTTATCAAGAAGTACCGCCCTCACGCATAATCACATTATCTTTGAATTTGAAAATTTTGTTGTTGCCCACGATTCATCTGATTTCAAATTCGACTGTTCATTATAATGGAAATTATTATTCTCTTCCTTGTATTGCAGTTTGGGAATAATATAGGGCAATCGGTAGACTTTAATAATATATATTATTCCTTGTAGTCTTGTATTGTCGTTGTGACTTTCGTACGGATTTAATATTTCATTTGCTCGAATTTTCAGCGAGAATGGTATATTGTCTTTTATATGATTTGAGTAGCTGAAGATCCTTTATTGAAATTAATTAGCATCGTCAGTTAATCCTAGAACAAAGTGCAGCAAGGGGATATCATTGTTGTTCGGTAACAATGGAGGGGCACTCGAATTTGAAACAGACTGTATCGCATGGGTGAGAATTCGTTACAAATTTATTGGACAAAATTGATAAGAATTGTAAAATTGAAAATTTGTAATTTCTCTAATGAAAGAAAAATTCGTCAGATTTTATTATTGGGCAAACGGCAGTTACTACATGTACATACTATATACCGGGTGGGACGATGGAATCTGCACGTACGCACATTGGAATGACTTTCTGAATAAATAAATGCTTGGTATCACCAGTCATGTAACCTACTTTGTACGAATCGCAGGACGTTCTAATAAGTTCGTTGATGCAGTGAACGAAAAGAAATAGAAAGAGGCAGTTTAAGGGATATAATGCCTGACGATCAAAATCAAACTGTACTTTGATACGGCAATTTTCAAAGAGTTGCTTGCATCATCGTGACTAATAAAAATTAAGAAATAAAGAAGGATAAAAAGCCAACGGGCACTGGTGATGCAATTTCGCTAGGCATGCTGGGCTGGTTCTGTCTCAGGTAACACGAAGAAAATAAAAAAATCCCTAATTAATAAAATTTTTTATTCTTTGTTACAGGGAGACCCACAAGGTGAAGAGCGTTGCCGTCTTATGTGAAGCTGAGAGTTGGGAGTTACAAAAAAAAATCAAATTTGAGATTTCTAGATAAACTTTGTAAGGTAACGGGTTTGCGTCACACTACAAGGTATCAGGTCTGGAATCGAAAGGACACACAGTGTCTAAAGTAACAAATAGGAAAGAGAAAACGAAAAAACACAAGAAAAAAGAGGTATCCGGCATGTTATCATCGTAATCTCAAAATAAAGGCTGTCTCGGATATTTGAATTTTCGTGCAGGAGCTCAATGGACGCTAAGCGAAGACATCTTGTCGTGCGATTATTTACACAGATCAGTTATAATATTGGATATTGCGATTGTGCAACGTGTCAGTAAGAAAAGGGGAAAACAGAAAAGGACGATGAATCAATGACAGACGTAAAAGCATAAATGGAATTTTGAGCTCAAATTTAATTTGGGAATACGTCGTAACCGTAACATGCCTTATTTATGCGTGTATATCGTATGAAAAGTAAAAGAAAACCTATGGATGGCGAAACACCTGATCTATTATATATATATATATTATATTAAAAACAAATGAATGGGGGAAAGATTAAAAAATGATTAAAAGCAAAATATTATAGACCGTGCATCAAGAAATGTCTATAAATGTTCTCTACGTTCTCTTATTCGATTATCATTCTTTGTCCACCTTAACGATTAAGCTTTACCAAGTATAGATCGATCGACGATCGATAGCAAAACCCACGGCAAAAGATCTAATTGTATTTCGGATCTGTGGTGCGAAAAATCAATCTCCGCAATTTTTACGTTTCCTTCCTCTCTCCTTTGTTTCTCGTCGATTGCTTCGTTCGCTTTCTTTCTCCTTTTTCTTTTCTTTTTCACTTTTCCTATGACGCGACGAACCGAAGTAGCAACGATCGACAGATTTTATCTTCAAGTTCCACGTCGCTCGTGGAAATCGTTGATGGATCGTCTACCGTTAATTTTCGTCGACGGAAACAATTGTAAAAAAAAAAAAAGAAACCATTAAAATGTGCATTTATTTTAATTGCCTTTGGACGAGAGCGCAGGTGCACACAAATTTAATACATCTTTTTTTTTTACTGTACTCATCCTTTATATCCGTTACTAATTGATAATAATTAATAATATTAATAATAATAAAGTAATCGATTAACCGTACAAATATTTTCGTATTTTTTATTTCTATTAATTATTAATTGTACTAGAAGAAAAACAAATGGAACCTATGTGTAAGCGCGTGCGCGCGCATTCAGTGTGCGTGTTGTACGTGTTGCAAAAAAAAACTTAATAATGCAATAAAATGAGCACTTTTACATTTGTACAATTAATCCATAAAATGGCAAATCGTTTATTCGAATTACAATGGGGGCAAAAGGAAGTGTACGATCGTATAATTATTGTGCAAATAGAAATAGTATCGAAAAAGTCATTCATTCCAGAGACTGTTATACGTTATTGATTTTCAATCTGTTAGCTCACGTTCAATCGATATTTTGTTTGTTCTGCGGAATAAGGTAAAGGGTACTTCTCTACAGTGTTCATTTTCTATCCATTTCATAGTAGCGTTAGATTATATAGAGAGGGAGAGTGAGAGAGAGAAAGAGAGAGAGCAATATCTTTATAAATATCAAATGCCTTTTTTATTTTTTGACAAAGCTGTAAGTTGCACCGTATTACTGTATACTACAAATTGTGTGTAATAAAGATGACAAATGTAAAGGCCAGTGTACTTGTTTCTATTCTGTAATTTCTAATTATTCATTCTTTCAGTTCCTTAGTACCTTAACACCTAAAAATCAGGAATTCTGGCAAGGAACATTTAGAAGTACTCGAAGCTGCGCGCAGACTCGGCGAGTGGGGTGAGCCGGGAAGTGGGGGAGCGCCGAAGGCAGCGCCGGACTCAGCGCTCATTCTTCCTCGAGCCGGTCTCCTATACTGGTCTCTTGGAATCAAGTCCTCTTGTACATTTCGAACCTTCTTCTATTCTTATATTTATTTCTCCTTTACTTCCTTATTTCTTTATCTTTCATTCTTCACTTTCTTATTTATCTCTTTCCTCATTTCTTCTCGACTTTTATAACTTTATTCCTTACTTTTCTACTTCTTCATTTCTTTCTTATTACCTTATTCTCGCTTCTTTATTTCTATATCCATTTACAACCTTCTTCTTCTTCTTTATTTATTTCTTCTTTACTTCCTTATTTCTTTATATTTCATTCTTTACTTTCTCATTTATCTCTTTCCTTGTTTCTTCTCTATTTTTGCAACTCTATTCCTTACATTTCTATTTCTTGACTTTTTAAATTTTATCTTCCTTTATAACTTCTGGTTTCACTCTGTTCTCTCCCTCTTTACATTGTGCTTGTCTTACTTTCCCTATTCCTTTGGTCGGGTCGAGCATATTA